AAAAAAAAAAAAAATCTGTAGCCTAATATATGACTTTTATGTCCTCTTTCAGCTAGCTTCTTGCCTTCAAAGCTGCCTGAGAGATTTCAAGATGCCTCTGATGGTTGTTATGTTGTACCTCAGGATTTAATTTAATTTTCAGCCTGTTTTGTTTTTAAATTCTCTTTCCCTCTCCATACCCCTGTTCTAGCTTTTCTGTGTTAAAAAACAAAACAAAAACAGTTCAGTGCCGGCTCTTGGTCTGAGAGTATATGGCACATGTGTGGCAGAAGAACCTACCAGTGGTGTGAGTGGGGGTGTCCACTTGCTCAGGCACCTCCTCTAGTCACTAGAATGGAGGTGCTCAAACAATGGGGGCCAATGAGCAGATAGCAAAAAGAAGACCATCAGAACAAAACAAAACCAACGAAGTGTATTGTCCACCTTTGCTCGGAGGTTCTGGCGTTTTTCCATGGTGTGTCTGCTCCCCAGCTTGGTCTTGCCCATGTGGTCAGCTCTGGGCCGCCGAGCCCGGCAGATTCAAAAGTACACGATTTCTTACTTTTGCTACAAGTTCCACTAGCTATAAGCCTTCAAACGTTTTAAATATTCCTGTCTATGTGGTTCCGTGTTTTGGAGCTGTGACCTGCATCTGCTTTGCCTGGTATTCTGTGATATTACTGACAGCAAACCTCACTGACTGCACCTCCACTCTATCTGCCATCAAGCCCTCTCATGGGCTTTTAAGTTTTACATGTTTCCTGGGGTGATATTTCTGAGTGTCATCAATGCCAACTAAGCTTTTCTCATGCTTCTTCTGAGGATACTAGAAAGAAGATGTGAAAAAACGCAAAATGCGATTTATTCTTTTTAGGTACTACTTTGCTCCTCTAAAGCTATATGCTTTTAATTGTTGACAGAGACATTTGATCAAAGTGTTTTAAATTCCCATAAATGATCAGCTGTGGAAGGTTTTGATTATAGTAATTATAGTATTTGTGTTATGAGGAGGAGTCTATGTGGAATCTGTTTGATTAACCGTCAATGAGGAAGTGCTATTTTATCCTTACAACACCTTTGTGAATCAATCACTTACTGGCCTCTTCTTTTTTGGCTGATTTTTGGGCCAGACATTTACTGTGTATGTGTCGTATGTACACATATGTACATGAACATAATAAATGCAAATATACAATTGGAACAGAATTGGCACCCCATAGGCAGAATTAGCTGTCTTTGTTAGTGGTATTTGTTAATACCCCTTCAGGATGATTAAATTCATATGAATTCTCATTTCTTCTGTATTTAAGAATCCATTTAAAAATTATTGCCATAACACAGATTTTTAATGGCCCTTCATCTTTGGCTCAAAAGTTACCCCACTTTTCTACAAGACTTTTTCTTCCTTTCTTCACTGGGCTGCTGGGAGGAGGATTTGAGTGCTGTAGCACACATACTTCTGGTTTTTTGTTACTTTGGAATCCTGCGTCTTACTGCCCTTTAATACTGGCTGAGTGTAACCAGGCCAATGGAAGCCTTTATCACTTGTCACATAACCTTTCCTGAGTCTTCTGTGTATCTGCTGATGTTTTTCAGAACTGCAGCTCTTCGGGAATCTCAACAGGTTGCCCTCGATAGTGAGCTTCTGGACACAATACCCAAACAATATGTTAATCGACAAGAGCAAATCACACTACAGTTGGAGTGTAGAGGCAGTAGTGGTAAGAAATGCCAAGGAGCAGCCGTTGTAACAGTTCAGGTAAGCTTGTTAAAATTTCTTCACGTTGCTCATCTGTGCAGTCAAGTCAATTTTGACTCATTGCCACCTTATGTGACAGAGTAGAACTGCCTGCATAGGGTTTCCCAGGCTGGAGTTTTTACAGGAACAGGTTTTTGATATTGGAATATCATTGAGAAAGATTAGAACTATAGAACATAATCCATGTCCCCAAACATTTAATATCTCTTTTTAGGAGAATGAAAGCACATGTAGAGGATGGCATGTGAGAGAGTTTGTGGGGGAACTTCCATGATCTTATCATCTCATTTTTCCCACAAACTCTTTGAAGCCCCCTTGTATGTCCATAAGTGCCAGATAAGTCCTGCAGAGAAAGCAGAATCATGACAAGCTTCTTAGAGAGGCTGAAATGGATCCTTCAGATAAATATTTTTAACTGTTTATTGTGATTTGAAGGTTTGTTTACATAGCAGATCATCAGTTTTACAGTCAGCAAATCACCTACTTTTGCTTTAGTACAATGACTTCAATCCCGTCCATGTACCATCAGTTCCCAGTATTTACCTCTGTTTCCTATAACTCTTGCACTCCTCCCTGTGTCCCCTGCTACCTTCATCTTTCCTCTGCCAACTCTCTCTTGTTGTCTAGAGCCTGCCTCATCACAATGTGTTGTCCCTCTAGTCCGTCAATAATTTTCACTTCCCTCCCACCCCTGGCAACCATCATAGAATGTTAGAATCTCCTCTTGTGAAACCTTTTATACAGATACATAATAGAATATTACACAACATTGAAGAATAATAACCAATCTACAAAACACCTCCCAGCATTGATGAACCTGGAGGACATTATGTTGAGTGAAATTAGTCCTTCAAAGATTTTGATGATGGTATTTTGGCTTTAGGTAGAAGGAATGTGGGAATGGATGTGCCATGATGCTATCTAAGGGCCAGTGAGAGTTAGGTGCCATCAGATCCACTAGGGACAATGAGTAGATCAGTTTATTTAAAGTTGTTTTCAGGAGTGGTGATGGGAATCCATGTTGGAAAGGTTGGTGTGGATGATGCCTTGAGAACTCTGGCAATAGTTTGCAGACTGGGGAGCTGCTGGAGATGAACAAGGGAAGGATCAGTTGGGTGTGGCTTGCCAAGAGACATGTAACAATATGGTTATAAATTAAATTGCTTGGCTCTCAGTTACCATTTTGTGCTGGAAATATAGGCAAGAGTGGGAACTATAGTGTCTTAAGGACTTCTGTTTTATACACAAAAGCCTTTTCAGGTGGGTATTCTAATGATCTTTATTTCCCAAATGAGATAAGTAGACGCTTGGAGAGATGACGCTGCCGGTGAGTGGCAGACCCAGGTGGAGCCCAGGCCGGCTGGCTCCAGAGCCCATGCCCCTTCATCATTGCACTGCCCTCCTCCTCTGAGTGGACGCAGTGTCCCCTGAGTGGGAACGAGCTCTCTGGAGATGGGTACCACCTGACTCCACTGCACAAAAAGAGCTCTCCTGTCCTACTAGCCTTTTGGAACTGGGGACATTTTATTATACTGTCTCTTGCTTGTCTTTCAAGAATTTTTCTTCTTTTTTAAACTGTTTATTATGAATTGGGTAATGATTTACAGACAAGATCATCAGCTCTCCATTCAGCTAACCATAAACCCTGGTTCATCTCGATGATTCCAGTCCCCTCCCTGCAACAACAATTATCCTGCTACCTTCCTGGCTCTCCATTTACATCTATGTTTCACAGATGAACAAGACTAAAATATTTGATGTATACTTAAAAAACAAAACAAAATATGTTTATTTAAATGCCCAAAGGGCATATTCTGCCACTCAGGCTCCTGCCCAGAGGCACACAGACACTGTCTTTTCTGTCACCACTTTTATAGGTAGGGATTTCACACGCCTTTTATGCGCTTCCTTCTTGATGGTCCTGGGGTCACCTGTTCTTGAAATAAAAGATTACCCGCTCCCTCCTTTTAGTTATACATCTTCTACAAATACAATTGTGACAATTACAATTAATCCTCTTAACAGTTATTCACAATTGAGTCGTAAAATCCTATTATCATCATCCCCTATCCCCTTTCACTAGATCCATCTGGGAATGAAGGAAGCTGTTCCTTGGGGATTCTACATTACCCCCTTTGTCTTGCAACCAAGCACACTCATTGAAACTACTAAACTAGCCACTTAGTGCCTTTGTAGCCCCACATTTTAATTTTTATTATTTATTTATTTAAAATGTTTTATTGTGAATTATGTGATAGTTTACATGGGAGAACATTAGCTTTACATTCATCCTATTATATATTGTTTCATTGCCATGGTTACAATCCCCTCCATGTGTTATCAACCAACCAAAGGGTATACTCTGCAAGGCTAATTCACATTTTAACTGAGCTAATGTACTATTCTGGAACTGGGGACATTTTTATTTTACTGTCTCTTGGTTGTCTTTCAAGAATTTTTCTTCTTTCTTTTTTTTGCTAATTCACATTTTAAATGAGCTAATGTATTCATCTTAAAACATTTACTGATAAAGATCAACGAGTACAGCCTTTGATGTGGATTACATCTCAATGTAAAGAAAATGAAAATCCTCACCACTGGACCAATAAACAATATTCTTATAAACAGAGAAAAGATTGAAGTTGTCAAGGACTTCAGTCTTCTTGGATCAACCATCAACACTCATGGAAACAGCAGTCAAGAAATCAAACGATGTATTGCATTAGGCAAATCTGCTGCACAAGACCTTTTTAAAGTGTTGAAGAGCAAAGATGTCAGCTTGAAGACTAAAGTGTGCCTGCCCAAGCCATGGTCTTTTCAGTAACCTCATATGCATGCGAAAGCTGGACAGTGAATAAGGAAGATCGTAGAAGAATTGATGCTTTTGAGTTGTAGTGTTGGAGGAGAATATTGAAAGTGCCATGGGCTCCCAAAGGAACCAACAGATCTGTATTGGAAGACGTGCAGCCAGAGTGCTCCTTGGAGGCCACGATGGACAAACTTCGTCTCTCATACTTTGGACATAACTGTCAGAAGGGACCAGTCACTGGAGAAGGATATCATGTTTGGTAGGGTGGAGGGTCAGAGAAAAAGAGGAAGACCCCCAACGAGATGGATTGGCCAAGTGGCAGCATCAATGGAGTCAAAGTATGGCAACAGTAGTGAGGTTGTCCCAGGATCGGGCAGTGTTTCGTTTTGCTGTGCATAAGGTCGCTATGAGTTGGTACCAACTCGATGGCATCTAACAACAACAAAATGCATTCATCAGAGTCTTGGTGTGGCACTGCTGGATAAGCACTGGACTGCTAATCACAAGGTTGGAGGTTCAGACACACCAACCACTTCTCGGAAACTATACAGGATCATCATGAGTCAGAACTGACTCCATGGCACTTAGTAACCACAACACTGTCTTCATCAATCTCCTCAGGAGACCATTTACTCTAAATGTTCTTCTCTGAAGGAGCCTTTTCTAGTTCTTAGGTTTTTAATTACCTTCAGAGTCTATTTCTGCTTTATCCAACATAGTTGCAGGTATCTAGAATTGTATATACCTTCCATTTAAGGAGTTTTGCCTGGACGTCAAAATAAATCAGTCTTATTTTCCTCCTTTTTACTGTAACAACATTTCAGACTCTTAAACATTGAGGTCATATCTTTGGCCAGGTGCTTGACTGATACTTCCCTCCATCACTAATGCTTTAAAATCAGGGTAGAGGTCTTTAAGAAAGATCATTTGCTCAGATAAGAAAGCTGGAACAAGAATCTGCCAACTGAAGGTGGTGGAGAACATGCCCTCTGCCGTTGAGTCAGTTGTGACTCATAGGGACCCTATAGGACGGGGGTTCTGGCAGACAGCCACATCTTTCTCCCACTGAGTGGCTGGTGGGCTCAAACCACTGACTTCTTGATTTGCAATTGTGCTTTTTAACTACTGTGACACCAGGACTCCTTCATAATGACAAAGGAAAGTCTTATGACCAATTTGTCTTTTTATACACACAGTACTTTTCCATATTTTGAAACCACATATCTTTGCCAGCTTGTTAATTCTATATAAAGAAGGGAATTCTCCTAAAATGCATTTTTAGAAGTGACTAGTGAGATGAGTACAAAGAAATGTTTTCCCAGTCTGGCTGTTAGCTTGCTCTGTGAAGAGTTGTAAATATTTGCCGCCCCAGTCAAAGAACAGGTCTTGTAGCCTGACCTCCTGTTACCTCTCAGGGTCTTGAAGTGGAAAATCCCACCAGGCAGACCAGAGAGCTCCAGCCACATCCCTATACCAGTGACTTGTGCCTCTTTTTTTAAGAAAAAGGAATCCCAAGTATTTGAACCCTTGAATTGAAATTTGTTTTATAATGTTTTGCTTTGTGAATTCTGCAATTAATAAAAGGTGTGGCTTTTTTCCTAAAATACCTTCAAAGCCATTTCAATTGGAGGGAGGTTGAAAAATGTTTTATATAATGACTGAGCTTAATAATGACCACCCGGACTCTGCAATGCCCTACAGTAATCGGGGTCTGGTCCTTGTGGGACTGGAATATGAAATTCATTTGTCGCTATTGAGTAGCTAAGAGCAAGATAGAGGAAAGTTGGAACTGGCTGCTGTGAAGTGAAGATGTTTTCTATGGGAGTCTATTAGTTTTGATTGACTAGCATAGATCAAGCACGTTGAACCCGATGCCGCCACAAATGGATGACTTTTGGTCTTGGTTAACTTTAGTTTGGGGAAGAAAGGTGTTTGTCAGACGGGCAAGGGGAGTGTTTTCTGAGTGTTTATGAAACTGTCACAGGGAAAACACCAGAGAGAATAGTATTACTATTACTATTCTACATACACATAAAACATGTGCCCAGGTACCCCCTCATGGCCATGTCTGGTAGTTCTGATTCCATTTCCCCTCTTTTTATCATTTAGTGATACTCAGCTTCGTGAGCGCTTTCCTATCCTGCGCGTCTCTAGCCACTGCTCGATTTCCTTCCAGAGTTTTCCTTCCTCTTTTCAACTTTTAGCTGTGCTAAGTGCTGGTCTTAACCACCTGCTTCAGTGCCTTTTCTGTGGTGCTGTGGGTTAATGCACTGGACTGCAAGGTCGGTGGTTCAAACTCACCAGCTGCTCCTAGGAAACTCTATACAAAGTCACTGTGAGTTGGAACTGACTCGACAGCACTTAACGAACAACCATCTGTGCTGGAGTTCTTAACCTGGAGCTGTGAATGTATTGATGGGATCAGGTAAGTCATTGAAAGTGTATGTAAAAATGTTTTCTGGGGAATTCATAGCTTCAGAGATCTTTTTGACCCCCTAAAATGTTGAGCCCACTTACCCATATGTTGATAGCTCCTCCTCTGTTTCTCTAGCCCAGACTTGTCTTTTGAGCTCCAGACTGAGATGTCAAGCTGCCTATTTAATGTTCTCGGAACCCTGGTGGTGCAGTGGCTAAGGCCCTGGATGCTAATAATAGATTGATGATTTGAACCCACCCTGTTCTATGTATGCCCAGAAAGATGGCAGCCTGGAGAAGCCTATGGGGCAGTTCTGCTTTGTTACATGGAGATGCCATGAGTTGAAAACTGACTTGACAACAGCTAACAATAGCATTTGACATTCTACCAGAAGATTCCTTAAGCTTCATAGGCCCTAAACAAACTTCACCTTTATCCTCCAAACCTGTTTTCTGTAATTCCCATCTTGGTGATCTCCCATGGCAGAGATGTGGGCCTCAGTATCATCTTGTACACATTCTGCCCCCCACCCCCAACTCCTTCTAATTGCTTCCCAAGTCATCCTGGGTCAGCCATAGAAAGGGCTTTAGATTCATTCCTTTCGCGTGTTTCACTGTGATTGTCTCACAGACAGCCACATCGCTTGCTCCCTGGGCAGTGACTAAAACTCACTTGGCTCCCAGTCTCTTACGGAGCATGACTTTTAAGACCCTTCATCAGTTATTGACGTGTTTCTAGCCATGTCCCTCACTCCCTTTTACTCCCCAAACAGTTTTCTAGACTCTTCAAACTTTTCCTGCTCTCCAAACATGGCATGTACAGTCAGTCACACCTGCCTCCGTTCCCACTTCTGAGCTCAGTTCATCTGTTTGTGCTTGGACAGAGCAAGGCCTATCCTTGAGGCTTTTCCTGACTCTTCCAGTCAGATAGAGGCACTCCCCCCTGTCAATGCAGCAAGTGCTGTTTTGTTCACTGGGTGTTTTTCCTGTCAGACGGTGTGCCCTTGGGACTATGCTTATCTGTATACTGTACATCTAGCCTGTCTCCTGGCACATAATGGTGGTGGTGGTGGTGGTGGTGGCTATGTGCCACTGAGTCGGTTCTAACTCATGATACTTCATAGGGTTTCTGAGGCTGTAAGTCTTTATGGGAGCAGAAAGCCTTATTTGTTTCCTGCAGTGAATGGTAGATTCAAACTGCTGACCTTGTAATTAGCAGCCCAGCTCATAATCCACTATGCTACCAGACTCTTTTGGCATATAATGTGAAGTGCTGTTGAATTGGTTCCAACTCATAGCGACCTGTGTAGGGTTTCTCAGGAGCAAATCTTGATTAAATGACATTTCCATAACTTAGACCATAGTAGTGAACCAGACAGTCGTGGTTCTTGCCCTAACAAGAGACAGTAGTGTGGGAATGAAGATGAGTCAGAAATAGCTGGGTAAGACTGAAGGAAGAATATTCTGGTGAGACCTCTTCCTCCTATGAAGAAGTCCAGAATATGCCACTAAATAATAAACATCCATACCAATTGTAGTCCTGGTGTGGCGCTGTAGAATAATGCACTGGACTACAAGGTTGGTGATTCAAACTCACCAGCCGCTCCTCAGAAACCCTATACAGGGTTACTGTGAGTTGGAACTGACTCAACTGCTCTTAACAACAACAGATTATTCAGTGAACACTGTGGATTGAAACATGTGGGAAACAAGTTTTATATTTTTGACATGATTTTTAATAGCTCATTTATACAGTTTTCAGATTGTATTATCAAAGTATTTTATGGCTTAGACTTTTTCTGGGAAGGGAAGTCCTGGAAATTTCCAGCTATCTACAAATGTTTGGGGCATACAAAAGCCAAATATATTTTATGAAAAGTGAGACGTGCTTCTTCTGAGTTTTCCTCTCCTAACAGAAATTTTTGATGACAGTGATATTCCCTGAGGAAATGGGGTGATTTATAATAGGGTCCCTTTTGTTGTATTTCTGCCTTCTAGGGTACATTTGCTGGTCATAGAATTGATTTATTATCATGTGAAAATCTTGTTCATTTCTAGAAATAAGAGATGAAAAAGACCCACTGAGGTCCTCATACTATTATAAGAACTTGCTGAAGGACATGATTTGCTAACATTTCAGTTCTTTGTCTACTTTACGTGACTCAAGTGGAAGGGCTTGCGCCTTGCTGCTTTGTTCTATTGTCTGCGACTTCTTGTAATTATGAGCCGGCAATCATTCAATCTCTCACCTTCATGCTCAGCAGAAAAGGAAGCTTTCAAGAGTGCTAGGAACACTGGACAGAATCATGTAGACTAGAAAATAATGGTACATTTGAGCTGTTTTTTGTGAGCATCTAAATTCTAGCATTGCTGGTTTCTAGAATGTGTGGTGGCAATTTTAAAGTGTAGGCTACATAGTAATTTTGGTCTTGGCTCTACATTTCTTAGTCAGATGATTTTTTTCATCTTTTCTCTCTCATTCTTTGCCTGTCTGCTTCCCTATATCTGCACAGTTTACCTCTCACCTCTCAGATTCCCTCTTCTTCTGCCTGACTGGATTCTCTCTGGGCTGGCCAAAGGCATTCCTGGAGGCTCACAGGTCCAGCCAAAGTCAGGTTGATGGTGTTAGGCACCAAACTGACTGCCCAGGCTCCTAAATCATATTCTAGCCGATTCAACATTACTCTGCTACTTGAAAGATTTCAACTTTAAATTCAGTAGTTACACTGACTTACTGTGTGCTTTAAGCAAGTAATTGAACTTTCAGTATCCCTCCTACCCCCAGGTTCTGTCTACCTTTCCTCTGTGTATCTCCACTTCCAGAAAGTCCCATTGATCGAGCCTACTACTTCTAAAACTGTAGACCTTAAACTGCAATTAAAAATAAAAATTAGGAGAGGAGTAGGACTTAACATACTATTGTCAGATTTTTTAAAATCATAAAAGAACATTATTACACAAACAAAACCAGTTACTTTATATTTATTGTATGTCATCATAAGTTAATTAAAGCCAGCCTATTTTAACCACTCCCTTAAGTAGGAAGTATATTATCTCAAAGGATAGTTTTTTTAATTGAAATTTTTTTTTACATTTTTCCTGAGAATCAATACAAATTTTTATCAAAGACTAGTTTTCAGGAACCACTGAACCAGCCAGTTTCTTTTTCTAGACATGCAACTGATTTGAATGCTTTCTCGTGTTTTAACCTGTGTTGGTGTTTGTTTTCTGAGTATCTATCTTTTCTTCCTTTCATAACAGCCAAGTAGCATCAGTTGTGACTTCCTTTTATATGCCAGGCACACAGGAGATCCACTGTGTGAGTGTTTTGAACTGAATTGTACGTGTTGGAAACACTGAAGTATAAAGGATTGATTGGGAAGATAGGCCTGATCAACACCCCAAAAACAGCGTCAGTAGTGAAAGATGTGTCTGTTTATAAGTGAAGTAAAAAATACCCTACAAGAGGCTTTGAATCAGTGATAAACTAATCAGGACCACATTAGTTTAAAGGGCAAATATGCATGGGTCTGTGCCTTGGTGTGACACCGGATAATAAGCACTAGACTACTAACCACAAGGTTGGTGGTTTAAACCCACCAGCTGCTCCTTGGAAACCCTGTGCAGGGTGATGGCACTTAGCAACAACAACTGTATATATAATGTAGTATTTTTCTACTATAATTCTATTTAATTTGGACTTGATTCTTTCTGATAAAAACATATACTTGAAGAGCTATTTGTCAGATACAATGAATGGAGTGTTTTTGAGTTCTGATACTAAGGATAGTAATACTCTCTTCATCCTAGGCCTAACACATTTGTAGTAAAGCATCTGGTCTAGACACACATAGGGGAGGAAGGCCCGTTGATCACCTTATCTTTTGTTAGTTTGAAGGGATGCATAAGAACGAGGCAGTAAGCCAACATCTGATCTAGACACACGTAGGGGAGGAAGGCCTGTTGATCACCTTATCTTTTGTTAGTTTGAAGGGATGCATAAGAACGAAGCAGTAAGCCAACAGCTCTATGGTTTGCGGAAAGAAGGGAAACATTTGCAAACAGAAGCTGCAAAACCACCATCACTTCGTGTCGTGGAAGCTGCTGTACATGCAGAAAACCTGATTACGTAAGTTTTGAGGGTGTTGTAATTAAAGTGCTATTTTATTATTGGTAGTAAGTGTATATGCTGCTGTATCCTCCAAACATACCAGTTACTACAGGCCAAAGCTGCCCTGTCGCCTAATTTTGTAAGTCAAGTTTCCTTGGAATATAACAATTTACATCTTGTCTATGGCTGCTTTGGAGAGCATGGTGGCTCCACACGATAAGCACTGGACAGTAAACCACAAGGCCCATGATTTGAGCTTGTCAGTTGCTGCATGAGAGAGAGGAGACTTTCTGTTCCCATGAAGATTCAAAGCCTCAGAAACGCTATACAGGTTTATACATATATGTCGTATACGCATGTGTATATACTCATGTATATGAGTCGGAACTGACTTGATGGCATAATAACAGCAACATGACTGCTTTTATGTTGCAGTGCTAGAGTTGACTCATTCTGACAGAGACTTTATCCCTCCAAAGTTTAAAACACTACCTGGCTCTTTATTTAAAAAGCATTTGTTGGCCCCTGAATTATGAGATGATACAGAGCATCGAGATTTCACACATCAAAGTCACATTTAGGCTGGAAGTTGTCACTGCCACAGAGTTTGCAGTGGCGTTGCTCCGGGAGGTTTGGCTCTCCAGTGGAGCTGCTAACTGAAATTGGACCATTGTACGGTGCTCTTGGAGCAAGGCTTATGCTCACCACCTCCTTTCTTTTAAAGCCCCTGACACAGCTGCAGAGAGGGGATGTAAACTCTGACTTTTTGGTTGTTGAAATTTTTATTGTGAACTGAGTGAAGGTTTACAGAGCAGATTATCAAATTAACATTCAACAAAGCACACACTTGTTTCACCTCGATGATTATAGTCCCATGGTGGAACAACAGTGCCCCACCCCTCCCTGTGGTTCTTATTTCCATTCCCCACTCCTTCCCAACAACCCTTGTGTGTTGACAATAAGTTGACAGATACACACTTCTCCCGGGAAGTATATTTCTAAAGTATCATCTGCATGGGATTCTGAGGGCTCTTAAGCATATTGTCTATAGCTCTTTGTAGGATACTCAGAGACACTTGTGAATATAGATTCTCTCACGATAGACTGATAACCTTTCCTACATTTCCTCCCAGGGCCTTAGTGAATGCCTACAAGTTGCAGCCTATACCTGTCATTCAGAAAGTTGGCATTAGCCTCTTCTTTACTGTTGTGGATTATGTCAGCGATGAGACACAGCGTCATCCTCCCACAAGGCAGTTCTTTACTTCGTGCATTGAGATCTTGGGACAGGTAAAATTCTGTGTTCTTAGTCTTATTCAGACATGGGACCCTACAGTATCTTCATTAGCTACAGCCTTGGTAGACTTTAAACTTCTGTTGCAGGTTCAGAGTCCTGCTCACATCAGAAGCCATGTCACATTGTTGAAATGTGAAAATAGCGGTACTAATAGTGAAGCTCTGTTATTGATCATTTATGAAAAGCTTCCCAGTTCTTTATTTGTGAGATCACTACCATTGCCATCTTAGAGCTGAGGGAACTGGGCTCTGAAAGATTCAGTGGCTTGCCTGGAGGATGCAGCTGTGCATGTTGGCACCGAGGCTGAGTCCCAGGTCTTCAGACTGGACATTCAGTACTGCCCGCATCTCGCCACTGCTGCCTCCACTTGCTGCTGTTGGCCACCCTTTCTGGGTTTGGCTCACTGCTGACTATGTACACATTATGGCAGGGACAGTGTTTACGTAACACCCGTTAACCATGTACTCTCATCCAAATCCCATTAAACGAATATTTATGGGATGCTTAAAAGATGGTGATGCTCAACAGATATTATAATAGGTTTTTTTCAAGCCTCCCCTCCCCTCCCAGATTATAACATTGGTGTGTGTTTATTATAAGCAATTCAGATTGTACAAAAGTATAAAGAAGGAAAATCTCTCATAACCCTAAACACCTGGAGATATGGCTCACTCAGCTAACATTTCATTATAGCTTGTCTGTGTATGTACAAAGGAGTCCTGGTATTGGTCTGTGGATGAATGTGCAGGACTGCCAAAGGTGGTGTGAACTGCAAGGTTGGCAGTTCAGGCTCACCAGGTCTCCTTGGAAACCCTATACAGGGTCACTATGACTCAGAACTGACTCTACAGTGCTTAACAACAACAACAAATGTATGTCCAGAAGGAACCCTGGGTGGGTGGTAAGTATGGGACTGGTAACCAAAAGGTCAGTGGTTCAAAAATCACCAGCCATTTTTGCAGGAGAAAGATGAGGCTGTCTGCTCAAGTAAAGAGTTGCAGTCTCAGAAACCCATGTGTATTGGCTTGCTATTATTGCATCACAATGTCAAGAAAACACAATCCTCACCAGTGGACCAATAAACAACATTCTTATCAACAGAGAAAAGATTGAAGTTGTCAAGGACTTCATTCTTCTTGGATGAACTATCAACACTCATGGAAGTAGCAGTCAAGAAATCAAACAATGTATTGCATTAGGCAAATCTGCTGCACAAGACCTTTTTAAAGTGTTGAAGAGCAAAGATGTCAGTTTGAGGACTAAGGGGGCGCCTGACCCAAGCCATGGTATTTTCAATAACCTCGTATGCATGCAGTTGTGAATAAGGACAGTGAATAAGGAAGACCGTAGAAGAATTGATGCTTTTGAGTTACGGTGTTGGAGGAGAATATTCGAAGTGCCATGGGCTGTCAGTATGAGATGGCCTCAAAAAGATAGTGGAAAATGGAATGAAAAGATAGTGGAATTTTTTCATGAACTTTGAAACTCTTTCGTATGTATGTATGTGTGTATGCACACGTGTGCATAGTCAGCAGAGTTAGGGTGGGCTGCCGTGCTCTAGCCCTGTAGTGCCTCTTCACTGAATCCCGAAGCAGGATGATGAGATGTGGCACATACTGCCCTGGCCCTGAGTGGTTCCTTGGTACCAGTTGGCTGCTAGGCTTGCACTCCCACCCTGTGGCATCCACATGGGTGGGAGAGTCAGATGGCCTCAGGATGGCAGGCGGCCTGCTGGCCAGCTAGTACACTGAAATATGCACAACTGCGACATGATGGTGGAAAATGTGGTTTCTTCCTGCTTTTTTTTTGTTGTTGTTGTTAAGTGCTGTCAAATCAGTTCCAACCCAAAGCGACCCTGTATAGGGTTTCCGAGGAGCGACTGGTGAGCTTGAATTGCTGGCCTCACAGTTCAAACAGCTATGCAGTCTGGTGCATTAAGCGCCACACCAGGTCTTCCTGCTTTAGAGAAAGCCAAATGCAGAGCAGGCTGGTGAGGGGCTGCTGCAGGGAACCAGACAACTTAACATTAAATCAGCTGGACAGAAACAAAGGAAGTCACCAACATCTAAAAAAATCTGAATATAACGCACATACAAAAATAATGTTCATGGGTGATGGTGGTGGTGTGTGGGTAGTATACCACAGAGTGTATGACACATGCACTGCTCATGGTGAGACATGGTACTTCCCTGTGTGGATATTTAGGTAGTGTTGCTACAGTAAGTTTGAAATAAATATTCTTACACACACAAAATCCAGTGAATTTATCAGACTGCTGTTTTTAAGGGTTTTTCCTAGAAATATGATTGTTAGGACAAAGGGAATAGCATATTGTCACACTGCCCTCCTGAGATGTTTGTAGCTGCATTTACTGTCAGTTTGAGTTTATTATTTTCCGTAACATTCTTTTCAGATCTTGTTAATCTGATAGCTTTACCATTTTGGTTTATATTTCTTTGAATGCTTATTAAATTGTATGTCTTTTCAGATGTTTGTTGGTCATTTATACATTTTGTTTATAACTTGCTGGGGTTATTGTCCTTTGCACGTTTTTGTTTTGGAAAATTTGTCATTTTTTATTATTAAAACTTCTCGTAACTATTAACCTGGTGTCTAGAATGTGTTACAAATAATTGTTTCTAGTTTGGCATTTTACTTGGATTATGATATTTATTGCCTTGCTAAAATTTTTAAGGGGCTTTTAAAAAGTTAGGGGAAACGTTCCATTGTCTTGTCCTTGATGATTTCTGTCTGTGGTCAAGCTCTGTTGTGTCGCTCTGAGTCAGAACCAACACAGCAACTATAGGTTTGATTTATTTATTTTTATGGTTTTATTTACTTATTTTTATGTTTTTTGGTGGTTAGCTTATCAAAAACTTCTCATCCTGGAATTGTTTAAATGTTGGCTTTTTTCTAGTACTATTAAACATTAAAACAGGGAAGGTTATGAATCTATATTAAAGTTAGCTTTTTAAAGGTTGTGGTTTTTATTGACAAGTACCGTTGAGTCAGTTCTGACTCACACTAATCCTGTTTAGGGTTTCCTCTGAGCAATTGGTAGGTTTGAACCACCAGCCTTGCAGTTAGCAGTCTAGTGCTTATCCTACAGTGTCACATCAGAACTTTCTATAATCTAGAAGACTTGTTTTCTCTGCATTTTTTAGAAACACCTTTGATGTTCAGTAATCAAGGTTGGCACCATGTATATTTCTGGGTTTCCGTTACCTTAATGTTTTAATTAAAAAAAAATTGTTCTAGTACAATTAAGTCAACATTTTCTATATATGGCTGATCGATGAATTTTTAACGTCATGTGCATTGGAAGTGATACCCTAGTCTGTGTTGATTTAGATTTCTTTTTGACGCTTGCATGTTTTCATTTAGAAAAGGTTTTATGTTATGTACTATTCTTTAAAGCCTGGTTGCTTTAGTAGAAATTGAAGAGGGGAGACTTTAGTGACATTTCCCTCCTTCTCTCAAGGTGTTCATCAGTGGCACAAAATCAGAATGCAAGAAAGTACTGCAGACCATCCTGAAGAACAGGAGGCTCTGCTCCCTGCTGTCTCCTGTCTTCACTCCCAACGCTGCTCCCGCAGAGTTCATACAGCTGTACGAGAAAGTGGTCAGGTTTCTCAGTGAGGACAATGGTGATATGATTTTCATGCTGCTGACCAAGGTGAGAAGTGATTCAGGGCTGGTGTTGTCAGTTGTGGAAGTGATTGTTTCCCGTCTATGGAGGGGCCGGTTTCAGGTAAACCGGGGACCTACGGGCCATGTTTACAGTTTGCAGCCTGATCCCATAGCTTCTTCTGTGAGAACTTTACTTGTGCTCAGCAATACAATCCCATTTCTTGTAGCTTAACAGGGACTGGCATCCAAATCTTCCTTAAAAAGTAGTGCAGTTAAACATTTTTTTATTATTTAAAATATTCCACTTCTGAATTTGTTCTGAATGTTTGATAAAAGGAGTTGCAACATGTGAAAGTCTCTCATATTTAGGGCAAGCTGAATCTAAACAAATGGTCTTTGGTTTTATTCTAGGTAGAATATTAACTCGTGTAGACCAAGGCAATGAGTTTATTTAACTAGATGAGCAGTCACAGCCTTGGGCCATTTTACCTTCACTTGAGATAAACGAATCAGTAAACCCTGGGCATTGTTTAGGCCTGGACACTGATCTCAGTCTGTAATGAGAGAAAGTTTGGGCTTCTGCAATGCCATGACTTTATTACCTGAAATAGGTAACTATGCAGACTCAGAACATGGAGACAGTTCTATAAAGTGGCTGCTTGTTTGTGGCACTGTGACTAGTGAAGGCTAACTGCAAAGCCCTGGTCCATGTCTTATGAAAACTGTACTATAGTTATAGTTAGACAAGTACAGATGCATGGAACAGAATAGGACTGTAACTAACCCTGTCATGAGTGGTCAGTAGTTTTAAATGACAAAAAGTCCAGCAGTGCTGGAGAGAACTCTGCCTCTGAAATCCCAGAGAGAAAAACAGAGAGGCATAATGTCATCAATTATTTGACTTCCTTTGCTCTTGTATATACTTATATATATATTTTGTTTTCAGTTTTAAAATGAAATTTGCACAGACCTCTCTCTAATGCATTTTCTAATGTAAATAAATTTGCTTCTTCTTTTTCTTTTTTTTTAGTTTGATCTTAAGCAATGGCTAAACACCACTAAACCTCCTCTGGCTGATCGTACCAGGCTACTGGAATCCATTCATTTGGCCCTTACTGCCTGGGGCCTTGAACCAGAGGAAGAGATTTTGCTGCCATTTAATCTTTTCTGCAAGCACTGGACTTACCTTCTTCTCTACCAGTTCCCTGATCAATACAGTGATATTCTCAGGCTGCTGTTGCAAAGTAAGTGTCTTCACTGAGTTATGAATTAACTGGGTCACAGTGAATATTTTAGGAGACTAAAATCAGGGTGCCAGCTCCAGGGGAAATTCTCTATTGGCTTTAAGGGAAGGTCCTTGTCTCCTTTCAAAATCCGTGGGCCTCGTGTCTCTTGGAGATCTCTCTGTTTCTTGGCATTATATTCCCTTGGGCCTAGGAAGGTCTCAGCACCGGGACCAAAGGATGTGCTCCACTTCTGGTTCTTCTTCCTGGTGGTACTGAAGTCCCTTTGATCTTTGTTTAATTCAGGGGTGGGGCATGTCCAGTCCGTGGCCTGTATCTTCTTGTTAAGTGCCGTCGAGTTGGTTCCAACCCATAGTGACTCCTGTATTAGGGTTTCCCAGGAGGAACTGGTGAGCTTGAACTGCCAACCTTCCGGTTCAAACCGACTTTGCAGTGTAGTTCATTAACTCACAGTGCCATATCAGGACTCCCCATGGGTCATTTAAAGCCCACAATAGCATTTGGTCTGGTCCTGCCAAGGCAACCATTGTTCAGCCATCACATTGGTAGTGGTGATGGTGGTGGTGTGCCGTGGAGTAGGTTCTGATTCATAGCGACTCTGTTGCATAGGGATTCCAAGGTTATAAATCTTTGTGGGAGCAGAAAGCTTCATCATTCTCCTGCAGAGCAGCTGGTAGATTAGAACTGCTAACCTTTTGGTTAGCAGCTCAGCTTGTGATCCACTAAATTACCAGAGTTCCTTGTTGTTGTTATGTGCGTGGAGTCGGTTTCGACTCATAGTGACCCTGTATGGGGTTTCCGAGGCTATAAATCTTTATGGGAGCAGAAAGCGTCATCTTTCTCCCGCGGAACAGCTGGTAGTTTCGAACTGCTGACCTTGAGGATAGCATCCCGGTTCATAACCACTACGCAATCAGAGCTCCTTAGGGGGTGAGTTAATTAAATGTTTGACCTGATGTAGAAGGCTAACTTGTAAGTTGGTAATTTTGTATGGCCTGCGAATGATGTTATAAATATCCAAATGGCCCCTGCAAGAAAAATGTTCCCATCCTTGGTTTAATCTTAAGAGAGATGGACTCCAGTAGATTGGTTTTGTTAGCAGAATTACCTCTAAATTCTGCCTCATTAGCATCATTTGCCCTTGTTGAGTTGACTCTGACTCATAGCAACGCTTTGCAGGATTTGTGAGCAGTGGCTGGTAAATTTGAACCTCCAACTTTGAGATTAGCAGGTTCAGTGCTTACCTACAGTGCCACAACAGGACCCCCTTTAACATCACAGAGGTTAGGATTTACAACACATAGGAGAACTACTACATCAGATTATAAAAGGGAGGTTAATCACTTAATATTGAGAATCGTGGCGTCCTAGCCCAGTTGACACAATCTGTAACACTAATTCTCATCTAAAGTGTGATGAGCAATAGCTAGAAGGTTAAGGTTGTTATGTCTAGAAATAGTCACGTGTTGGTCTGAATGTTAGAGTGAAAAGCCAGGTGTGCAGCTTGTCTGTTGTTCAGTGGGCCCTTTTTTCTTTCATCTCTTCACTCTAGGTATCCTTATGAATTTTAGATTTTTTTTTTTTTTTATTTCCAGTGTGGTGAAAAGCACATGTGTTTTCAGTTTCAAGTTGAACAAAGCTACCTCAAGAAAGGTGCTAACTTGTTTTTCTCTGTCTGCCCCTACCCTGGTCATAGGCTCTGCTGACCAACTACTGAGCCCTGAGTGTTGGAAAGCCACTCTGAGAGCATTGGGCTGCTGTGCCCCTGACTGCCAGCAGGGGGCAGCTTCTACCAAGAGTTCGGTGTTGCAAAGCTCGCCAGCTGTTCCTTTGTCCGACAAGCAGGTGTGTAGCTTTTGGTCTCTGAAGTTTTTTTTTAATATTTTATTGTGAATTATGTGATAGTTTACATGGGAGAACATTAGCTTTACATTCATCCTATTGTATATCATTTCATTGCCATGGTTACAATCCCCTCCATGCATCATCAACCAACCATAGGGTATACCCTGCAAGTCTGTCCTCCAGTCCTCAGCACACAGCCCCTCTCCCTCTCTGGGTCTAGAGTCCCCAGCTGCTCCGTCTCTCCACATCATCATTTCTGCCTCCATTTCTGGCATCACTGCTTCTCTGGGTAGGGTCCTACTCTCTACTCTTCTCCCTTCATGGTCCCAGGGACCTCCACTCCTAGCCTACAAAGTCAATCACTCCCTTCCTTTTACTATAAAACATCTAGCTTAACATTTCCAACCCTCACAATCAGTCCTGATAACAATTATTCACTATTGTATCACAAAAGACCTATCCACGTCTCCTTTCATCAGTCCACCTAGACAGATTGGATACTACTCAGTGGAGATTCTACCTTCCTCCATGCTCTCTGGATCTAGGCTCCCTCTTGAAAGTTTATAAGTCAGTCATTTCTTGCCTTTGTGGGCCCCCCTTCCCCATTTTGGGTAGCTAATGTCCAAGTTGCTTATCCCTGTCTACTCTGTGTATGGAGGGGTTGGGAATGATCCTCACTGTAAAGATTTGTTCCCTCTTTTGAGATACTGGATCCATAGGTGTAGGTCAAGTTCATCAAATTGTATCAGATTACTCTTTTTTTCCTCTTTCTTCTTCTAGTTGAGCTCTGATCATTCAGTCATTGAAGCCAGGTCAAGTGGGTATTATCTGAAAGTGTGAGAGTTCTTATGCATATGCCCTCTCTTCTTATCAGCTGGACGCTTCATTCTCCACTCTGTTCCTCTGTGGCTAAGTCACTGACTCTAGGCCCAAGAGTCCCCAGATCTTGCCACACTGCTGGGCAACCAGGTCTCCACTCGGGTTCACAGGAGCCTATGAACATTGTTGGGCTTAGCTCGCAGCTTCATTGCTGTTTTCCCCTCATTTCCCCTTATCAGTGATGAACGTGGTCACCAATCAGAGTGTGTATTCCCAGTGAGTCTTAGTCTTGGAAGAGGGTTTTCTCTGAGGGGACCCGACCACTTGCCTTGATGTCTACTGGGCGAGCAACTTGCTTGTTCTTGTAATAATCAGTTGGACTGCCTATATTGTTTTGTATTTTTCCTGTTGGTCTGTGAAGTATTTATCAGCATTTCTTTTCCAGCTCTTTTGCTCTTGATAAATGGAACACATTTAAATTTGTATTTAAAAAGCCATTTTTGTTCATTATCTTGAGAGCCCTGTATTTTAAGTCAGTCCTTTTCCTCCCCATGCCCCTTTACCTAAATGGATTGCCTTTCTCTCATATCTTGACTCTGATTTTTGCCCATCTGTCCCACCCAGGCCCTCCCCTGTGTGTACCCTCTCTCCAGGCCCTCCCCTGTGTACACCCTCTCTCCAGGTCCTCCCCTGTGTGCACCCTCTCTCCAGGCCCTCCCCTGTGTGTACCCTCTCTCCAGGCCCTCCCCTGTGTGCACCCTCTCTCCAGGTCCTCCCCTGTGTGCACCCTCTCTCCAGGCCCTCCCCTGTGTGTACCGTCTCTCCAGGTCCTCCCCTGTGTGTACCCTCTCTCCAGGCCCTCCCCTGTGTGTACCCTCTCTCCAGGCCCTCCGCTGTGTGCACCCACTCTCCAGGCCCTCCCCTGTGTGCACCCTCTCTCCAGGCCCTCCCCTGTGTGCACCCTCTCTCCAGGCCCTCCCCTGTGTGTACCCTCTCTCCAGGTCCTCCCCTGTGTGTACCCTGTCTCCAGGCCCTCCCCTATGTGCACCCTCTCTCCCTACCATAATGCATCTGACTCAGATTGGGCCATTGACTCTGGCTCTTGGGTTGTCATGCAGTGTCTCACTGAGCTCTTGGTTTTATCAGGTTTGTAGAGAATTTATTTCAAATAATGGTTCCACTGCTTTAGAAAGCATTTGAAACCCACTAATTCATTTATCCTATGTTGTATAGCTTTGTAACTTGCTAAAATCAAAGACCTGCCGTAGCCTCCGTCAGTTTCTAGCACCATACCCTAGACATTCTGTAAGTGTGCTTGCTTCGTTATTCTCGCCCAGGTCATGGAGACTGTACAGTGGCTCTCAGACTTTTTTTACAAACTTCGCTTATCCAAGTTGGACTTTAAGAGCTTTGGCTTGTTCTCAAAGTGGAGTCCTTACATGGCTGATGTGAAGACACTGTTGGGATACCTTGTGAGAAGGCTGATCGACTCTGAAATGGCTGGCTTGGCCCAAGATCCATCTGCCAGCAGCAAAACAGGTGATGTGCTATTAGTGTATTATGGAGTTAAGTGTTCTGACCTGCCACCAGAAGGTAATTGAGTAGGCACATTAAGAATTGACATTTGTGCTCCATCTAGATACCTGAATACCAGGACGAAGAAGATTTATGGTGCACATATAAATCTATCTATGTGTCATACCTGTGCTGGCTTGCATTGGTGCCACAGCCTGTCCCTGCCCCTCCTTGTAGGCTGTAGTACAGAGATGATGTTCAGCCTTCAGCTCCGTCTTCCTTTTCTTGCTTTTTCTAAAGAAAGGGGTGTGGATATTTAAGCATTCATCTTCGGAAAGATGTACTTATAAAATCCTTCATGACCTTGTGTTGTAATAAAAATTCTTCAATTCTAAGAAACTCCATTGTAGCAGACAAAGTCACCCTTTACCAAGCATGTTGTTTATGCACAACATAGGTCTTAGAGATAAAGGTAGATTTCTTGCCTCCTGTTACCAATAATCTTGAGAAAGGCTGAGCTTGTTTGTTTGGCTTTGCTTTGTTTTAGTGCTGAGATGCCTGCATTCCCTGATCATCCAGCTCTTTAAACCATGGATCCTGGTTTTAGAGGACAGCGAAAGGTAAATAGTGGTTTTGCCGTTCAAAGTCCTTCAAAACATGCTTGCTTAAAGTGCCGGTGGTGTTTTAATAGAGGTGATATGAGTTCACAGACTTCATTTGTAGTGTAGGGCCACATTTGTGTTAGAAAATGCTTCTTTGTGACACTAAAAATGGTGTGGTATAACCAGTGCTGTGTGTCTGGGTACTAATTTTGAAGTACAACTGGACACCCAGTTCTTCTCTTCGATGGTAAAGAATATGATTGAGTTTCATTTAGTTCCTGATTTCAGAAAAATGGATGCTGCTGCCCATGACAGTATGAAATATGAAATGAACTTAATTTTCTTCACTACTTCAGTTATTTTTTTGCAACTAGTTAACGTTAAAGAGTCCTGGTGTGGCCCTGTGGGCTAATTCATTGAACTGCGAAGTTGGTTTGAACCACAGGGTTGGCAGTGCAGGGTCACTATGGGTTGGAACTGACTTGACACCACTTAACAACAGTTGGCTGTAAAATTATTGCAAGGAAGTTATCCTTTTGACATAGAACACCAAATTAAAGCATTTTTTTCATGAGTTTTTCAATATTTAAAACTGAAAGCTGAATCCACTGCCAATAGCTCAGTGCTGACTCATAGCGACCCTGCGCAGGGTTTCCGAGGCTGCAAATCTTTATGGAGCAGAAAGCCTCATCTTTCTTTTGAGGAGTGGCTGGTGCTTAACTTACAGCGCCACCAGGGCAATTTAAAAACTATTTAGAGAGGTGGGGAATTATTTGTATGCAGCGAGTTGCCAGGCGAGTCTTCTTTCCCCATAAAAGTACAGAATCCAAAGCCAGGGGAGCTTGTCAAGACTTTTATAAAAATTACAGCAATCTTTGGAAACATCACAGTTTTCAAGTTATTTTTACAAACATTATTTAATTTCATCCCACGTCTCTAAGAAGTTGCTCAAATCCCCATTGTGGAACTGGGGCTCCAGTTCAGGTCTTTGGACTCTTGTTTCAAGACTCTTTGAATTAACCTGTGCTGCTTCAAGAGCTCTTTGAAGAAAACCTACAAGGTTCTGTGTTTTGTTTTTACTAGAGGGCTATCCTTAAAAAATCTGCAAGTTTTAGGACTTTATAGTGATCACAGGTCGACTGGACAGCACTAACAACAACACATACAGACTGCTGAGCATAGAGCAAAGGCTACCCGTATATTTCAAAGAAGAATTCATGGAATTGAGTCTTCAGGACTAGATCCAGAAACCAAATAATCACTTAAAGACTTTTATTTTCTGTCTATTTTGGCCATCTTTTTGTGGCATAAATTTGGTTTTCCTCCATACTGTGGGTAGAGAAAACTGTTAATTAAAGCCACTTTATGGTGTTTTAACTAAGATACGCAAGGAATGGCCTCAGGGCTGTAAGTTAGATGAAAAAGTTGTTAGTTTGTTAGTATTTCTAGATAGTATACTTCAGAAACTTAATTGCATTGAAAGAAAAAAAAAAAACATGTAGGAGGTAAGGCAAATAAAATTCCTGGTTGATGTTACAAGCCACAGGTCACCTCCAGGAATTTACAGTCTTTAATGTAAGGTAGAGCCCCAGGTGCAGGGTGTCCTGGGACTAGGCAAGCCCACCTGGACCTGGAGTAATATAAATGATGGCGCTTTGATCTCTCAATATGTTTGGTCTTTGTATAGCAATCAGCGACATTACCCCTGGCTGGAGAGTGATGCTGTGGTGGCCACAAGTATAGTGCAGTTATTCACCGACTGTATTGACTGGTTACATGAGAGTTTTAAAGGTAGGAAGATGCTGATGCTTCTGTTTATTTTTTCACTTTCCCCCTGCTGTTCAACTAATCTTTTGTCTCTGCATTCCTATTTCATCTAATTTTATTTTAGTGCTGAAGAAAGATCACTAATACATTTAGCCTTTTAAAGTTTACAACCTCTTAACTTTTCTGGGAGGCAGCTGTGAGTTTCTGAGTTTCATCACTTAAGAAAAACTCAGTTTTGTCCTGAGATTACCTCCTAAAATACCTTAAATATCCTATTCATCCTTATCTAAACAAAACTCTTTTACCTGTATATCCCAAATGCTACCTTCTACTTCTGTTTTAAAGGATTGGTAAAAAAAAAAATAACATATGTTCTTATTTTATGCTGTTCAATAAAGTAAGAGTCTGGGAATTGAGGGTACCAGGACTACTAGGAATGATAAATTGGCGGTTGGATAGTGATATGTGGTGCTCGCTGGCTATGTTTCAGAAGCTCAGGCTTGAGAAACCCTTCAGCTTCTTTCTCTTTGCATGCAGTTCTCTCTTCTTTGCCCTTGCTGTCCATAGAAGCAGGAAGTCTGGAACATTTGTTGTAGACGAAATACCCATTATATAGCCACTAGCCCTTGAGACCATTAAAGTAGTTGATATTGGTTGAGGTTGAATACATGGTCGAGATTGCAGAAGAATGTGAGATTGATTTTAGAGTGATTTACCTAAATGACAGGTAGTAGCCTAGTTTAACTGTACAAATGGTTCAGTTTTAGTCATTTGGACCATTTCCAGTTGAGGACTATTGGGTCCTCCATGGTGCTAAACGAGTGAAGCGCTAAATGCACGAGTCTGAACAGGGTTAGCGAGGGCGACAGACCAAAGGGATGCCTAGAATTGGTTGGTGTTATAGAATGTATTTGAGTAAAAACCCCACATATTTAGACATTTTTAAGACAAACATCATCTCTACTTTCTTGCACACATCAAATGTTAATGCCATTTGCTCTATTTTTTCTTACTAATCTGAAAAGCTTTGAAATTAGGTAAATATTAAGCACCCAAGTTTTTAGACTTTTAGTTCAAATTTGTATTTTGTATTAGTTTTTGTTGTTGTTACTGTTGTATATGTTAAACATAAACCAAAAGATTTCCCATTGTATTTTCTTTCAACTTAAGGCAAACTGTTGCCTGGTGACGAAGGAGCGCTCTGGTTACACCTGATGCATTATTGTGAAGCATGCACGGCACCCAAGATGCCCGAGTTCATCCTCTACGCCTTCCATAGCGCGTATAGGAAGCTCGCATGGCGGGATCTGCGCCCTGACCAGGTGCTCATGGAGGCCTTCTTCAAAGTAAGCCCCCCACTCTCCATGCGACAGCCCCGAGGGGTCTGTCTAGTTGGTGGTTCAGCACAGTCGTGTGTCCTGGGTATGCATTCTGTATTGTCTGAATGATGCTGTGTAAATCAGCCTGCAGAAATCTTAGTAACAGATGACTAAAACATCCACAGTGCTATTTAAACCTCAGAAAGGCTTTGTCTATGATGTGCCAGTCTTCCCCTAGGACTCAGTGTGTTATCATTGTATAAGTACATAGTTGAATGACTTTGTGTTGTTTAGTCTTCATTTGCATTCATATTTTTTAGGATTCATATTTAGAAACTATTTTTAGGATAGTGCCATTACAACTATTTAGTGTTAAATGTTGTATTAAACAACAGAGGTACTTAGGCCATTAGTTTCTTTCAGCAGTTATACAGGTGAATGATGAAGCTGTAGGAGATGAAGTGCATTCTGATGCCAATGATGCATCGTAATCATGTGAAGACCTGAACTAGTCCGAGGAAAGCATCATGTGTGACTCTGCAGGAGGAACAGTGGTTAACAAAAACTAGCTGGGTCAGCAGTTCAAACCCACCAGCTGTTCCTCAGGAGAACTAGGAGGTTGTCCGCACCCATAAAGATTTACGGTCTTAGAAACCCTGAGCAGGATTGTCTTGAGTCTGAATTGACTCAGGGGCCCGGTCACTTGCATTTACTTGTCTTGTCATATTTACTCCTGAGCCTCTGTGAATGTTTTAATGGCTGCAGAGCTACAGTTATTTATGACTGTAAGATGGTGCCAGTTTCTCAGGACTGACATTACCGTCCGCCCTGTAAGTGGAGCCCAGCCCAGTATTGCTTGTCAGCCACTATGAGGAAAGCCGAGGGCAGATGGTTTGAGAAATAAAAGGTTTAAGAATAATTTTCTAGGTGGATTTAGTCTATGAGACTAGCATTAAGTAGGCATTCATCATCATGATAAACTTGAAAAGAGAAAGTTAGCTGGAAGAGCTATGAGCTGGCACTTCAGTCTCTGAGGCAGATGAAACAGTAGGATAACAGGCTCTTGAGGAAGCTTATGGACTCTGAAATCTCCAGGGATCCAAGGATACATGGCCCTGACCTGCCCAGAAGCTGGGGATTTCATTCATTGTGCCTTGTTGGCATAATAAAGTATGCTTTTGGGGGTGGGGTGGGGTTAAGAATTGTGATTGTGAAGTGCTGTTAAGTTAGTTTCAACTCATAGCAATCCTGTACAGGGGTTCCAAGGAGCAGCTGGTAGGTTTGAACTGCCAACCTTGTGGTTTGCAGTCCAATGCTGAGCCTACAGCGCCACCCCAATAAGAAAGGTGAAGAATCATTTTGTAAAAGGCAGACAGAAGTAGTTAGTGATGGTGGTAGTGGGAGGACATGCGTCATCATCATTAATACATAAATATAATACATGGAGTAGAGCTTTTAATCTTCATTTTGAAACGATGAAATTGTGCCTAGCCCTGTCTTACTTTAAATGAACTAGAAATAGTGAAATAGGCATATAAAAGATAACTTTGAAGTTGGTTATATGTAAAAATTTTCGAATATATTTAAAATAAGATTTAATTAAACATTATGCAGTCATCAACAGTTATAAAGACTAATGACATGGAGACATTTTTATAATGCACACACTCAAAAGTAGAGTAAAACCCTCGATAGATGTTAGGGTTTGAGAGTTGTTTTCCTAGACCTGCAGCATCAGCATTACTTGGGATCAGTGAGAAAAGCAAATTTTTGCTTGTACCCCAGATCTAGGAGTTCAGAAATCCTCAGGGTGGGACCCAGCACTCGGTGCCTTAATAAGCCCTTACTACTTACTCTGGTAGCTTAGTGGTTACGAATCAGGCTGCTAATCTCAGCATCAGCAGTTTGAAATTATCAGCTATTCCGCAGAAGAAAGATAAGGCTTTCTGCTCCCATAAAGATTTACAGCCTTGGAAACCCTGTACAGGGTCACTATGAGTCAGAACTGACTCCACGGCATACAGCAACAAACACTGACTGGTCAGTCTCAGCTGTTGTCCTGTCTCATCTGGAAAAATAAGTGTTATTTTCACAAATGCATAGGAAATTATGAAACATTGACTTATACACATTTTCAAGATACTTGGACAGCTTAAAGCAAAGCATTGACTTTTGTTGGTTTCCTTTGAGGTGGAACGAGGAAGCCCCAAGAGCTGTTTCTTGTTTTTGGGGTCTATACTCTGTGAAGTGAATTGGGTTAGTGTGCTTGCGGATGCCTGGAATCCCAGCCCCCAGCCTGAAACCAGAAGCATGATCGTCTGCCTCCTTTTCATGATGATTTTATTGGCAAAGGAAGATCAACTAGTAGACCAAACCGTAAGTTTGTTATGAAGACCTGGCTGAATTCCCTAGATCCTCCCCGGCCCCCAGCTTGTGGTTTTCCCTTGTTTCCCTAATGCCTGTCAATGTGGAGGTGTGCTTTCATCTAGATGCCAGATTTTCTTGAAGAGCTCATCATAATCTAACTGTAGATTATGAGAGGAATGACACTGAGTTAGAATGCCTGAGTCCATTTTATTTTACATTTCATTAATTGCTAGTTTTATCTCATATATGCATTTTCAAGCTTTTGTCTTGTGCCCCTGAAGTTTGTCTGTTGTGTTATAAATTACTGCTCTCCTAAGGAATGCCTCCCAGCATTCCTTAACTCTTGAACCACCAACCTTGGAGTTCACACCGACCTTGCAGTCCCACGCATTAACCCACATTGCCACACCAGGACTCCCGTAAAGATGATACCCTTGGAAACCCTATAGAGTCCCTATGAGCTGAAATAGACTAGGTGGCAGTGGATTTGGTATTCCTAATGCGAATAGAATAGGTTCTAACTTGAAACTTTTAACTGTGTTGTATTTATCATTAGTCTTAGTGGTTAGACTACTCAGAGACACATATTGCTGGGTGAATTGGAGTTCTGAAATGAAATGAATGCGAGTTTCATTTTTAGGATTCGTCTTTGCTTAACCTCCTTGGACAGACGAGTTCACTGTCATGGCATCTTGTGGATATTGTGTCATACCAGAGTGTGATGGGTTACTTCAGCAGCCATTATCCACCATCCATTATCCTGGCTAAAGAGTCTTCTGCTGAATCGATTTTGAAGCTCCTCAAAGAGTCTGCGGGCCTTTCTATTCCAATCAGCGGCCAGAAACACCTTGTAAGTCGAGTGTGTCATTTTGGAGACAGAGCGTAGACTTCGGTGCCTGTTATAGCTTAAATCCTACTCCAGGCAGTCTTCACTCAGTGACGTCTGCAGCAGAGGAAGTTGCAGGGTGTATTTATAGTGTACTTATTCCAGTGCTTTGCCTTGTGGGAGAAACATAAGGCTTTCTGCTCCAGCAAACGATTTAAAGTCTTGGAAACCCTATACAGGGTTGCTGTGAATCGAAACCAACTGGAAGACACTTAACCGAAACACAGCAAGTTTTGCCTTCCTTCTGGTTTTACAGCATTACATGTCATAAGTAATGAGGGCTGAGGAGGCAGGTGACTAAGTGATCTGGATGCTAATGGGAGCAGACTATCAGGTAGGTGGTGAGCGTGGGCTGGAGGTCTTACAAGCCAGAGTCCCTAACCCACCACCTTGGTGACACTTGGCAAGTTCCTTGATTTTCTCATCTGAATTGGAGCTGATGACACCCTGCCTCAAAGAATGGTTGTGCGGAATAGATTAGCTCTTGAACATGGACGATGCTGGAGAGTTCCTGGTAAGTAGCTGCTGTTGCAAATGTTGTTACTACAATAGGAAAAAGGAAGAATGTTCTGCTGAAATTCGGGGAAACGTGAGTTCTGTTTTGCATTTGGCTAGACACAAGACTTGGGCGCTAGATCTGCTTGTGGATTCCTGATCTCTGCCCACTTCCTTCTCTACCCAAGCAGTCAGTGCAGCGTCATGCGCCCAGGGAATACTCAGCCGACATTGATTGGTTTGATTGGTTGGGATGATTCTCTTTTGTTTGTTTTGTCAGGATGCAGTTCCAAAATGCCGAACTTTCACTCATCAGATGGTCCAGTTTCTCAGTACCCTGGAACAAAATGGAAAAATCACCTTAGCAGTCCTGGAACAGCAAGTGTCTAAGCTCTTAGACAATATCATTATCTTTAACCTGCCTGGTAAGTGACTAGTGAGAAGTACTGTGTTCAGTCATACAGTAAGTACCTGCTTATGCATGAGGCACTGTTATGGAAGATGATATCCAGATAGCAGGACACGGGAAAAGATGGGAGACGTGGTTCATGATCAAGGAATTAGAAAATAAAACCGTAGTGAATACATGACACACTCACCCGAATGGCTTTTCTCTAGAAACTCATGTGTTGCCATTCCAGCAGCCTCTTCAAGTCTGTGTCTGTTCCCACAGACCTGGACAGCCAGACCCGCCACATGGCGCTCAGTAGCCTCTATGTGGAAGTCCTGATGATGATGAACAACACAACTGTTCCAACTGCAGAGTTCCTCCGGGGCAGTATCCGGACCTGGATTGGCCAAAAAGTGCACGGGCTGGGGGTGCTGCCCATCCTAACAGCAGCCTGCCAGAGCCTGGCTTCCGTCCGCCACATGGCTGAGATGACAGAAGCCTGCATCCTGGCCTACTTCACTGAAGGTACGAGGAGACCCACCCCATGCGCTCATGTTTAAGCAATCATCGAGATGGTGTGCTTGAGGGAGTGTTTCCAGTGAGGGATTGCCCTGTAAATGGTGTTGATGTTTCAGCACCTTCGTATCTCATTCATATAGATCTTATTTAGCCTGAGAACCTATGATCCAGGTCTGCGGGTACAGTCATATTTCAATGGAGGCTTTCTACTGCATTGTTACATTGGTTTTGGAGTGTCAGACCAACCTTTTTATTATTATAGGTAAATTGTGTCATGTTACAGACCAAGTCATAGAAATACTATGAACAAGTATCTATGCCTCTGTAGGAGTCCTGGCGTGGCACTGTGGGTTAATGTGCTGGACTGCAAGGTTGGTTTGAACTGTTAGGTTGGTAGTTCAAGCTCACCTGCTGCTCCTCAGAAACCTTATACAGAATCGCTATGAGTTGGAACCGACTTCAACGGCACTAAATAACAAACATACCTGTGTAGGATAAATACTGGACTGTGAACCACATGGGCATAAGTTTGAGCCCACCAACCACTCCGTGGGAGAAAGATGAGGCTTTCTGCTCCTGCAAAGATTTACAGCCTTTGAAGCTCTATACAGTGTCACTGTGAGTCAGAACCAACTCCATGGCACTTTACAACAGCCTTCCTATGATAATGCTCCATGGTACTAACTTTCCCCTATTTCTGTTAAGATGAGTTTTGATGGACGTCCTTTTATTGCTTCTAGCCACACCACAACCAACCGTCCCTTTATTTTTTTTACTCCTTGCCTCTAAAATTCTCAAACTCCATAAAGCCCATCCGGGTTAAGAAATCTTACTCCAAATAGAAGTTCTCAACTGTGATATCCAGAAACAACATATTGTAGACAGTAGGAGAAAAATGAGCTGGTTGGGTGGGGGTGGCAGGCTATACGCATAGCCTACCTGTCTTGAGAACCAGGGGACAGTCTGTGCCCTCAGGAGGTGCTGTGCATACCACCTTCTGACTCCAGCCCTCACTCCCCCTAAAGAGTTGGGAGTCATTAAAACAGCATTCCTGTTCCTGATTCCTTTGTGTTACTAAAATGAAAACTTTTTTCCCCTTCTCTAATTTGTGAAATATTTTCAAGGGCTTCTGTTGGAATATAAGTCAAACTAAGCTTTGGTAAATTAAAATACTTACAATGGTCAGAGTGGTTACAATTTCTCCTGGAAAAACATTTGTAGTCACACTTAAAAATGACACTAGCTGGCTTTTAGGGGACTGGGACAGGCAGTGCCTACATGTGATTTGAATGCTCAGAACATGGTAAGAAGAGCAATTGACTGGCGGCCAGCACTGAGTTCTGATTCCTTAGCCTGACAGTGGCTACCTGCCTGCTGACACTCTGCAGCCCTGAGTGCATTCCCTTTTTGTGGCACCTAGGTCTGCTGTGCATAAGGTCGCTATGGGTCGGGTGCCAACTCGATGGCACCTAACAACAACAAAGGACTGTGTGAGGAGTCCTGGTGTGGTGCTGTGGGTTAATGTGCCAGACTGCAAAGTTGTTTGAACTGCAAGGTCGGTGGTTCAAGCTCACCAGCTCCTCCTTGGAAACCCTATACAGGGTTGCTGTGCGTCGGAGTCGACTCGACAGCACTTACCAACCAATAAGGACTGTGTGAGACTCGTTTTCTTGACACAAAGCTTGGAGTGGAAAGATTCATTGAAATAGTTCCTCTTTTATCCTTTTTATTTTCTTTTTTTTTTTAAAGTTAGCTGTTTATAGTATATTTGTATACTTCACACATCTATTTGTGCGTAGATGTAGTCATCGCCCATCTTTTGTGCTCTGTCCCACAAAGATGTTACATTTCCTAGCTGCTTTCTGACTGGGTTCAGTCAATGTTAAGCCATTCTTGTTTTTGTCTTCATTTTTCTTTTCTTTTTTTTTTAATTCTTTTCTTAGACTCCCTCAGTCCAAATTTAGGTTGGGGCCCCATCCTGGTGTCCCTTCAGGTTCCTGAACTCACCATTGAAGAATTTCTGCGGGAGTGCCTGTCCCTGGGCAGTTATCTGACTCTCTATGTCTACTTGCTCCAATGTTTAAATAGTGAACAGACTCTAAGGAATGATATGAAAGTGCTGCTCATCTTAAGCAAGTGGTTGGAACAGGTATATCCAAGGTATGCTGGTCCCCTGGCTGCTGTGTCTAGCACATTGTATTTGGCTAGCTTGGAGTTTAGAATTTTTAAATGTATAGAGTACATTTAAGCACACAAAATACTAAGTGGTACATAAAACAACCAACCAGGCTAGTAAGTACAGCTTGTTGTAGAATCTTACTTTCTACAGTCTAGTTTTCTGAGAGGGTTTTACGTCCTAAAGACAGCATTTTGAAGCACCAGTCTTCAGTTTATATATCAGTTAAGTAGCAATAATACCACCTATCTCATAGGATTATTGTTAAGAGGAAGAATATAAAGGCCCTACAAAGGGTTTGGAGTCCTGGTGTGGTGCTGTGGATTATGCGCCAGACTGTAAAGCCATTTGAACTGCAAGATTGGTGGTTCAGGCTCACCAGTCACTCCTCGGAAACCCTGTATAGGGTCGCTATGTGTCGGAACCGACTTGACGACACTTAACAACAACACAGAGGGTTTGGTGGAGAGTAAGCGGCCATTACAGTCCGTTTCTCTGTTAACACTGCCTCTAAGCCTACGCTTTCAAAGTGCTAAATGCTCCCTTAGCCTTGACACTCAGCTACAGACTTTCAGGAAAAACACCCCTTCTAACTTTCTTTCTGTCCCGTGCCTGCCCCCAGCTCTGTGCAGGAAGAGGCAAAACTGTTCCTGTGGTGGTACCAGGTCCTGCAGCTGTCCCTGATTCAGACAGCCCAGAACGACTCGGTCGTGACGGAATCTGTCATTCGGATTCTGCTCATGCTTCAGAACCGGCAGAGCCTGGTGGCTGAGGAGAGGCTCAACTCTGGCATTCTGGGGGCAATCGGGTTGGGCCGGAAGTCACCCTTGTCAAACAGGTAAGGAAGCCCCGCCACTGCTCTTAGGAAACACCTCCAGCCTCTGCACCTGCCTCAGGGTTGTGATACGTGAGTAGGGGCTTTGATTTAGAAGTGGCCTGCAGGGATTTTTCAGGTTCAAACAGTGATTGTTTTAGTAATATCTCTTTTACATTTTTCATTTATTAACCTGCCATACTGGATTTGTTTTTGGCCTTGGGTGACGTTAGGTGAGCTCAGGGAATGAGAACTGGCAAGTTGTCAGGATAAGATCAGGCAGTAGGAAGGGTAAATAATACGAAATGAGGTTTTTGTTGCTAAAAATCCCAAAGCATGAAAAAAGTTGTCCATTAGTCTCCCATTTTATTTTAACAATAATTATGTACAGAAGGGCTTCAGAAGTTAGTGGGAAAACGGAATGAAAAGATAATGGAATTTTTCACGAAGTTTTGAAAGCCCCCTCGTAGATCATGGTTTTCTTTTCAAGTCCTTTTTAGTGTTGGGAGTTCCCATACGTTCAGATGTGGGCATTCTTGTGGACTATTGTTACAACTTTGAGAACCACCCAATCCAAGCCAGTTCACATGAAGTTATTTTATTTATGGTAGGATCGAGCAGGACTCTGATTGTTTCACTTCCATTAGGCGTGTCTTTTACCTGAGTCAGGTTCCTTTATTTTTGGATCTGAGTTACGCATCCAGTGTTTAGATAGGATGCACGGAAGGAAGATCGTGCTCCTTCTTGATGGTACTTAAGATTTTCCTGGAGACGTTAACAATTACGGTAGCTGTGCTGTTTTCTCATAGAAAACAATGGTGTGCAATTTGAAATGGCTTACCTGGTAGTAACTTAACTTTTTCTGCCCTGCTTCTCATGTCTAAGGTTCCGAGTGGTCGCCCGAAGTATGGCTGCCTTCCTTGCAGTTCAGGTTCCTACCGATGAGCAGATCCGGCTGAAGCCTGGCTCTGAGATACACCTGAGTCTGAAAGCTCAGCAGGTCAGTAAAACAGCGTTACAATTAAAGCTTAGAAGTTTTCCACCAAACCTTCTCTAGGAGGTGGAGTATGGTGGCTGCCCCCTGGTCTTTTCTTCATTCACCTTAGCAGCTTCAACTTAATGGAAAATGAGTCCAGTATGTGCCTGCGTCCAACTGTGCATTGTGTCTCCTAGGCATTAGCTTTGAGCACTATGACTGTCTCTGTAGAGGACTCTATGGTCTAGGATTGGATTCCACTCTGCTGAAAGTGAATGGACATTGACCTGCCCCATCCTAAGGGTTGGAGAATGGTATAGAAGATGTGGTCAGAATTGTGGTCGATGGAAGTGAGCTTGAACTTGAAACCAACAAGGTTTCCCTGTTTTGTGAGTCTAGAGATTGACCTTTGTTGGTTGATGTTGGTGTAACCTCACATGGACAAGAAGGTAGCTGTAAGATATCATTTCAGCCACAAGCTAATGGTCATTCCTGTAACTCTGTTTTCTACCTGTAAACAGGCTGACCCAGTACAACATTATACAATATAAAACCATGGCCAGCATTCTCGAGTGCTTACTACCCACCAGGCTCTGTTCATGTTTTCATTCATTGAACCTTATAACAGCCCTGGAATGTTTACCACCAAGTAGACTCTGGCTCCTGGTGGACCCCTGTGTGTGTTCGAGTAGAACTGTGCGCCATAGCATTTTCAGTGGTTTGAGATTTTGGAAGTAGATCACCAGAACTTTCTTCCAAGGTGCCTCTGGGTGGACTCAAACCTCAACCTCCAATATTACTGTTGGCAGCCAAGTGTGTTACCCATGTGCACACCACCTCTATAATATAGAAACTATGGTTCAAATCCACCAGCTGCTCCTCAGAAACCATACACAGGGTCACTGTGAGTCAGAACCGACTCAACAGCACTTACCAACAAACAGCAACATTATTGTCCTCTGTTTATAGCTGAGGAAATGCAGACAGAGAGAGACTAAGTAACTTGTCTCGAATCACACAGTGTTGGATTAATAACTTTTCCCTAGTGCATTGTTTCTCATTAATGAAGGGAAGGTGTGAGGGCTGCCATGGTGGCAGTATGTCCCAAGACGCCAGGACAGGTTCACAGCCCTGGAGAAGCGGGAGCTGTACCTTCAAGGTTTTTGTTAGTTGTTTTTTCCAGTTAGTCTTCTCTTCTTCTATGTGGAGGTAGAAAAAATGGACAGGAAGCAGGGGGGTGGGGGAGGCTCCTCTGAAGGAACAGCATGGAATCCGTTTCTTTCATCTTTTCTACCCCATTTGCCAGATGAAACATAATCTGGTGCCTGTTTACTGAATGAATGACTTGGTTGCTTACAATCAGCAGCACTTACCAACTAGTGTCTTTAGAATCTAGTTCAGTTGGACCATTGAAGATGACATTATTTTGTAACCTAAGAACAAATTGAACAGCACATCAAAGAGGTCTCCCTCGGTTAGATACAGCTGGTCTTGTGAAGCAGTTCAGAACCAAGAGGTCTTGCTGACTGTGAGTCCAGCTGGGGCTCCAGGAACAGAGGTTCCCCCTGTCGCTGGGGCTTGATCTGTTGGGGAGGACTCAGTAGGTGGCACTGGGGAGAAGGAGGACAAGGCCTGGGAGGAAGTCGGCAGCCTGACCAATGCAGGGGCTCTGGGGAGGGGCTGGAGAAGGGCTCAGGGCAAGAGGGCAGAATGGGTGGGTGTATGGGGGAAGCTGCAGCGCCCTGAACAGTGTAAGTTACTGTATCCTTCTGGGTGTGGTGCTTCAGGACCTGTCTTCCGTACGCCTGTTTCCAGTTCTTCTCGGGTCTCCAGCCAAGATCCAGTTACACTGTGCCATGTGTAGAAATCTAGCTCCGCGACTCTTGCTAACTCTCTTACGTTCTGTGTCTTTTAGGCTCTGAGTGCTCTTGAATCTATGCCACTAAGTAAGCAGTATGCTGAATACCGGGATCAGATCTCTCAGGCCACCCAGTTTGTAAAGCATCCTGACCACTGCCTCCAAGATGGGAGAAGTTTCCTGGCTCTTCTTGTTAACTGTCTCTATCCAGAAGTGCACTATTTGGACCACATTCGATAGTACACTGAGGCCCATGGAAAATCTGTTACTGTTACTGTTTACATTGAACTTTGCTGTTGCACAAGGAACTTAGCTCCGTTTCACTGCAGAGCTCAGTTCAGCCAAGAGTAGTGGCTGGTGTGCACATTGGAGGCACTAGGTAACTGCTGCTTGTGCGTGTGCGCGTGTGTGCGTGTGTGTGTGCGTGTGTGCGTGTAATCGGCCCGTAAGACTTCCTTGGAACTCTCTGTGCCATCCAACAAGTGAAACTTTGTACGGTCCACTTGGGGACAGTGCTCCTCCCAGGTGATGACTCGCTGGCCTTGTCACAAGACTCCGGGATGTGTGCTCTCCATTTCTCTCTGGTTTTGTGGAAATGTGAAGGCTCCAGGGCCAGACCGAACAACTTGGGGAGTCATGTAGAAGTCTCACTTTGGAACCCCGTTTGATTTCTTCCAAAGTAAAACATACTGACTTTGCAAGTGTCTGAATTTCTCAAAAGTGGGGAGAGACACCAGCTTCAAGGAACTGCATTCTCTCCCTCAGAGGGGCCGGAGTGCTGAGTCAGTCAGGAGATGACTGTCGGATCGCAGGTCCTTGGTCTCTACTCACTGCTGGCTGACAAGAAAAGTGAGTCCTTGTCTGGAATGTGACCGTTCAGTCCTGGTTGTTGTGAACTGTGGAGGTGGTGACAGGTTTGTCTCCACCCATTGTGGGCTCAGGGAACAACCATCCGTCCACGGTGACGTCTGTGACGAGAATCCCAGGCCTGGGGTGGAGCATGTGGGTGGGCTTTACCCTCCCTGCTTCATTGCCCTCTCCACCCCTCTCTGGTCCTCCTCCCAGCGCCCCATCTCTCACTCAGCTCCTCAGTAGATACCATGTTGGGTAGCTGCAGGCTGTCAAAAGAGTCTGAGGACTGGATGGTTCTGTATTCCCTATGAGGTTAGTATACTTGCACAAACACATGTCTATGGAAATTGGGTCAGGGTAGGAGACATACTGAAGTTTGGCGTTATTTTTCAGTAGCCACGTGCCTTCTGTCAACAATGCATCCATTTCATTACCAAGCCCGCCTGTACTGTTGCTTTGTTCTGTTGCCATCTTCTTGCTCATGTTGTTTCCTCCAGGAATTATCCAGTTGACTTCCAGCATCATATTCATCATTCTGTTGGCTTAGAATTGATTTTCTTTGTCCAGCTTGCATAATGTTTCTCTTGTGTATGGAGAGCCCACGGACACTTACCAAAGAATGTCATAGCAGTCACTGAGAGCTTAGAGCTGGAGGAGTGATCATTTCTTCTCCAATCTCCTGGATGAGCCGTCAACTTTTGGAAATATGTAGTTGCTCTTTCTGCATTTCTCCAGTGGAACAGAAGACTTCTGCCTCACAGACCTGCTCCAGAGCTCTGGTGGAGATCGTCTCTGCTCACCCTCCACATGTTGGTGACCCCAGTGTCCACCTTAGACTGGACCTGTCCCAGAGCCCTGCCTCGTCAGTTCTCCATTCTCTGCCCCATTCTGTGTGGGGGAAACTAGAAGCCCTGGACATGTAAATGGTTGGTTTGGCAGCAATGATTTCTTGACAGAAAATACTTCCTGTGCTGTTTTCTTTGAGAAGGATGCAATTATTGAAATCCTAGAATGTGAAAATTTTGAGTGACAAGTATGTATATCTTAAAGGAAATGATTACCTGTTAATTTGAAAGTTTATAATATTTATATTGTATTTGGCCTGTAGAAACTATAACAATAAAATCAGACTTTTGTTGTAGCTGGTTAAGAGCTTGATTTAGAGGCTATGACACTTCTTGTCAAGGATTTCTGTAGTTAAAGTCGTTGTAGACCATAATGCCTGATGTTTATGTGACAACATCATGGTGGTCAGTAAATGTGTTCTCACGGAGACTCGTGCTTCGCTCTGGAGTCTCTGGTTCCTGTGAGAGGCACTAGTCAGGAAACGTGCTGTAAACTTGCTGAGATAGTTACGAACGTGGCAGCTCTGCTGTAGTCTCTAGGAAAAGGCAGTAGGTAGACCAGTGAGCCCAGTAGCTTGAGCCTTTGCTGGACACAATTTGTGTGCTTCCATAGCATAGGCAGCACGTTTCAGAAACGGTGACAGGTCCTGCAGCTAGGTTTCTGGACCAAGGCCTGCCCTGTGCCCTGCATAGCATTGAAGGTGAACTTGTGCGTGTTCCACACCCACCACACAGGGGCTCTCAGTGGTACCTGGCTCGTCAGAGAAGGAAGTCTAACACCTTTGAAGAGGTGGAGGAGGAACTTTGGTCTCAATGAAAAGCACCTCTTCCTCTTCTCCCTACTTTGGGGGACACGCTGGGATTAGTGAAGGGCTGGCAGGTGCAGGGCACCGAGTGAGGGGTCTCTGTAGATGTGTCTGCAGGGCCTGACTGTGGGACTCTGTCATACCTGTTCCCCAAGCTCCTGCCACACTCAGGACCTTGGTCCCGAGACATGGCTCGTTTCTTGTGGTCATTTCGTCAGTTCCTTCACAAGGCGGTCAACCTCCAACTGCTTCTCCCTTCCCTGGGCTGTGTCTGAATATCTCAGTTCTTTAAAGCTGAGGGAAGAATCCTTGACCACAAAAGGGAAACCCACAGACCGGTCTAGCCTCACATCCTCTTCCTCAGTCATCAGAAAGACTGTCGTTCATGTCGTACCAGGTGGCGCACAGCTGTCATTGTGTTTCTAACTCTAGAATGAATGATTGCTTCTGGAGCATGAAAGCAAATGTCATCAACTGATAGATTTTTACTCAGAAGGGGCCTTAAAGCTCAGCTGGTCCTTCCCACCTCCAGCAGGAATCACCAACAAGTGATCCTTCAGCCTCTCCCCAGCCCTTCCCAGGGACCTGTTCCAGCCCTGCCCATTGTGGGCAAGCCCACACTGCTATTGGAAGGCTGTGTTTTCAGTGTGTTAGACATTGAGCTGACGTTGGCCTCCTAGTAACCTTGCCCATTGATCTGGTTAAGCCTGGAGCAGTGCAGGCTAGGGCTACTCTCTTGCCCTCACGTCAGACCTTCAGACATTTTCAGATCTCATCACCTCTCTGACCCATCCCGTATGTGTATGGTGGGTTGAACAATAAGGCACTTGGCACTTATCCTTTAAATTTGTCTGCTGTTGGTTCTGAGCCAACTGTAAAACTTATTTTGAAATAGTAGATGGTTATTTTTCCATTCCATTTCCAGCTACCCCACAGTGCTTTCCTGGCTAGATGCACCCAGTGCCCCCAGCTTTTAATAGGGCTGCAAGGAGTCCCGGTGGCATAGTTACGCATTGAGCTGCTAACCACCAAGTAGGTGGTTCAAACCCACCAGTTGCTCCAGAGGAGAAAAATGAGGGTTGAGGGTTTCTGCTTCTGTGAAAATTACAGCCTCAGAAACCCTAAGGAGCAGGTCTACTCTGTCTTATACGGTGAGTCAGGATCGACTTGACGTAATGGGAAGAGAGCTTTTTTTTTTTTTTTTAATTTTAGTTTTTATTGTGAATTGGATGATAGTTTACATTCGTTTTACCGTATTTCGTTTCATTGCAGTGACTACAGTTCCCTCCATGCATCATCATTCAACAGCATTTGCTTCCATTCCCTCTTGTGTTTTTTGGATGTACACTGAAGCACTCAAGAATATACAGCCACTGACACAAACCCGCCCCCTGGCTGTAGAGCTGTACTTTAGAAAGTATGCTCTTGTCATTCTCAAAGGGGCTATGCCTGGGACTACAGCACCAAGAGTGGACTGAGGCACCTGGGGTGCAGAATTCTAAGATGTGCTCACTTGTAGACACCCCCTGCAGGGCCCCAAGAGCTGGCCTCCTGACCTAGAAGTCTTGCCTCACCCTTGTCCCTGCGCTTGTGACTCATTTGCTTGGACACTTAGACGACATCAGCTTTTCAGTGGATGTGCCAGATGGTTGTCACATTCAAGTAGTTGCTAGTTGAAACTCCAGACCTTAGTTTTACATCAACTACTGAAGACTGGCCCCAAACATAAAACTTATTTTGAAATAGCTGGTTATTTTTCCCTTCAGAAAACTGTCTCATTAAACAAAATGGAGAATGTAGTGGGAAGCAATCATGGGTTTTTTTTTTTTGTGTGTGTGTGTGTGTGTGTGTTTTTTAAGCCTACTTTCCTGTGATTTTACATTTATGTGTTTGTGGTGCTGGGTAAAGTTCTTGGCTTACAGCTAGGCAATGATACTGATTTTTTATGGTCCATGATGATAGGACACATCGTAGACATCTGTCTGACTAAGTCTCTCCCGTCCAGCAGCACTTGTGTTTGAAATCTCCTTCACTCTGGACAGGTTACTAATTTCTGATGACAACAGAAACAAATTGAGCCACTGACGGTGGCTTTGTAGAACAAGTACTGCACTGCCTACCAGGTGCTTTGCAAGAGAAAGGTGAGGCTTTTTACTCCCTTAAAGATTTACAGCCTTGGAAACCCCGTACAAGACCGCTATGAGTTGGAACCAACTCAAACAGCTACCAATAACACCAGGGTCCTTATTTGGGAATGCAGAAATTGCTAAGAATGTGGGTTACTACAGCTTAATTTTTGAATTACAGTTGTAATATTGCCCATTGAGCATTAAGAACATTTCTTTTTTTTCTAGTGGTTTAAAATCACTGAGTGGAGAGATAGTGAAATGCGTTCAACTCTTTTCCGTCCCACATGTGTAGTGTGACCCTTTGAAACCATGATTTTGTTTTGGTCATTAAAACTGTTCAATGTTCGTTCCTTACTTGTTCAGCATTTACTTGTCTATACATGAGTTTTTGTGTCATGGTGAGATACAGGAAGGCATGGGAATTGGTTAAGTAAAATTCGGCAGATAAACCTGGTTCACATTTGATTTACACAGGGCAGACATGTCTCGTTTTTGGCAGGTTGGTTAGCAGGTCATGTTGCATCCAGAAACCTTACTGAGAAAAATGAGAATTTGAAACTTCGGGGTGTCAGAATTGGCCTAGATGGGAGGCCATCTGGTGATTCCCAAGAGGCCAGGAGACCCCTATGCTGGTCAAGTAGTGTGTCCATGATGGGCAGAAGGTGGCCATGAAAACTGCCCCAAACCTCCCACCACCTGAGCTGAGGTGTGTATGTGGGGTAGGGGGTGGGGGGTCAAGATACCAGAAGAGGACAAGGTTACCTGGGTGGTCAGTTCAGGCAACCAACCTGCAGGGGAGCAGTATTTGGGCATTTCTTCTTGCTGTCAGTGTCCACTGATGTTTGTAAGACACACCCTGGATGCTGGTGAGGCCACCACTGAGATTGGTAGTGGGGTGAGATAGTGCATTGGATCCAGGATTAACATTGATGAGATTTCTTCAGAGACAGAACCCTCTAGTACAGGCTGTGCCTCCCCCACCTTTGTCTAGGTTTCGCTATTTTTCCAGGTAGAATTGCAGGATTTATGGGTGGAAAGTGCCTTAGAGCTCAAGTTCCACCTCCACCTAGTGGAGGAAACAGGTTCCCTGTCTCCAGACTAGTAGCCATCCCTGCTGGGACATTCCTTAGGTAAAAATGCCCCTCAGGAAGTGTTCCCTGCTGCCATGGGCAACTCTGAGGATTAGGAATGTCTATGGATGGAGGAGCCAAGACCTTTCCAGAAAAAACTTTCCTCTTCTGAACTCAGCACTCTTCATCTTCCTTTGGTAACCTCAACTCCCATGAAATAGGACCAAGAGGGTCTCTGGCCTGGGTATCATATTTTAATAGTATAAATTTGCAGATGATAGCAGATTCACCTCGGAACCTCCCATCCTTCCTTCATTGACCTTCTCTCTGCCATTCTTCCTTAATCGGTACTTGCTAGACCCTTCTGCCTCCTCAACGTTCCCCTCCTTGTGTCTTCTCTCTTGCTCCCCATCTTCCTCTTATTCCTCCTTAACAGACCTGGCTGCCTTTGGCAGAGGTAAGTACCTTACAGTGGCCCTCCTGAATACTCTTCAGACCCTTGGAGGCCTATGCAGACAGGACTTGGGAAAGAGGAAAGTCTTGGGAAAGAAGGGTCAAAATCCAGAAAAGCTCTGGGAGTTCCAGTCTCAAATAATCCTGTACCCTTGTGTTGTCAGATCATGCCTTTCTCTTTTTAGTGCATAAACTATGACAGGGGGAGAGGGGAGCACAGAGCAAGTTGTTACTAAACATGTGTGACCCCAGCCAGATCACTTTTCTACCTGGGAGTTTTTCCTCACTTTAACAGGAAGATACTTCTTACCTTCTTCATAACTTTTAGTGAGAAGTACCTGTGATCACAGGTATAAAGGTACTTTTAGGATGATAAAGAGCCCCAGAAGTCTAAGGGGCTTACTGTTGGGGGAGGAAGGGATGCTGGACTTAGGTGCCCAGGACTAAGGCCTCTTCCAGCCCAAAGGCTCTGGGGATGGTATGATCTGAGCACTCATCTGGCCCTGGCTGTCATCCACTCTGGATAAGAAGACATACATGAAAACTCAGCCCCAACTACCTCTACAACCAAGTGCTCATTTTCATCTCCAGGTAGGGCCTGGAGATTTAAAATGTTCATAAAGTTGGGGGTGTGGGGCATCACTTGGAGAACCTATTTGGAATCCTAGGGTCCTGTCTCAGAGCCTGTGGCCCAGATGTGCATGCATCAGCTCTCTGGGTGTTCCTCATTGAGGTCACCATGGGACCCACTGGGGGAACTCCGAGAGTCCAGTGTCCCCAAGTGGAAACCTCAGCCCCAGAGTATCCTGGGTCTGGAGAAAGTGGCCAGATAGTACAAGGAGGCCAGCACCCTGATCCCCTTCTGTCATCCACCCTGGTGTCTGAACTGCCCACACCCTCCTGTCACCTCTAACAGCTTTCACGAAACTCTTTCACCTGCTTAAACACATGCTGTATCTGGCCTCCTGGTCTTTGTTTAGACCATCCCTTCTGCTTAAAATGCTTTCTTACCTCCCAGCTTCTCTGTCCTCATTTCCATGGCCAAGTCCCCTTCTCTAGGAAGCCTTCCCAAGATTGGACCAGTTGCCCCATTCATGTGTCCCATTCCCAGAGCACCCCTGCTCACCTACCTCTGTTGCTGACCCTACATGATTTCCCATACACTGGTTTGTGCCCTGATACCGCTAGTCTCTGTGACATCTCGGAGACCAACTGTGAAGTCAGTAGGGTGGTTCCCAAATGCTTCCAGCTTCCCGTTTGCACTGTCTGGCCCCTTGCAGGTGAGTGGTGCATATGGCTAGTTCTGGTCAGTGGGCTAATATTACTAACGGGAGACTCTCTTCCCTCTGGCCTACTAACCGCAACCTAAGAGATGGTAGGTCCCTGAAGAACTACAATGAGCAAACTCCTTGCAAAGCTGTGACAGGTGAGAATCGAGCCCTTATTGTTTTCAACCACTGTGATTTGGGGGATGGTTTGATATCACAGCACAGCCCACCCACCCTGTCCAATGTTGCTGCTGTTGGGTGCCATTGAGTCAGTTCCCACTTACAGCGACCCCAAGGGACAAGAGGAGATCTGCTTTTGGTTTTCTTGACTCATCCTCACAGAAACAGATTGCTGGACCTTTCTCCACAGAGTTGCCATATGGGTTAAAACCATCAATTTCTCAGCAGCTGAGCACTTCACTGCTGTGCCACCAGGCCTCCTTAACCTTAGCAACCCTCACGCCTTATTTCTGTAGCTTCAAATCATTAGCCCAATGCCTAGCTCAAAGCTGACAGGTAAGAAATCAATATTGTCGCTGTTCTTGGTGTGAAGTGGGCCTCCAAGACCATGCAGATGTTTCAGGACACACCCACCCTGTACACTGAGACTCTTCTCTGTGACATAGGACTCGCCGTGGAGGTGCCAGCAGGAAGCCTTGTACAAGGAGGCGTACTGGCCAACTCCTCTGACCTTAGCCCACACAGGCTCTTACAAGGACTCCAAGTTGACCATTAAGGAGACTCTGGTGAGATGGGAAATTTGTACCCCTTGCCCTGCTCATTAACTTCCGAAGATCCTTAACCTTTGGACCATCTTCCCAGAAACGCATCAGACAGGACACTATGTTTACTTCAGTTCCAAAGGAAGAAAGTTGGTCCCCACTGCTTTCTAGCCCCCCATCTCTGCAGTCCTCTCCTCTTGCCAGTTAGCCCACCTCCTCCCTCTTTCTAAGTCCCAGGCACTGCCACACCTCTCCAGTCAGTCTGGCAGGGTAAGGGGGCAGGGAGTGAGTCTGCCAAGACTCTGGACGGATTCAGAGTGTAGAGGGGCAGAGCTGCACCTGCTTGGTCCATGGGGACCCTCTGTCAGGTCTCCCAGCTTCTGATCCCTGAGGACAACGATTGTCAGCAGCTTTGAGGTGATAGGGTTCTGTCCACTTTGCCCAGGGGTCTGAGCTCAAGGCAGTGAGGGGCAGTAGATGGGGGTATGAAGTGATCAGTGGCTGTGACTGTCACGGAGTACGCAGAAGGCTTCTCCCCACCACGATCCTGGAAGTTAATATTCCTCTGACCATGGATTTGCACAGCCTTAGTCCTGTAGTCCCATCCTCAGGCCTGGTTTCTGTAACCCACTGTTGTCATTAAGGCTGGCATGGGGGCCACAATAGCCAAGACATCTCGGCATGTCCAAGATCTGCTCCACAAGTGCCTGTACTTTCTGAAGCCCTTCCGGATCCGTGATTTCCTCAGATGTACATAGTTCTGCCAGTCAGTGGGGGGAGAACATTATTGTCCCCGATCAACAGTGGGCCAATTGAGACCCATGGCAGTGAAGAAAGTGTTCCTGTCCACACAGCAAGCAAGTCAGAGATGGAGCCAGGGCATAGTCTTGCCCTCCACACTCCATAACTAAGTTCTTGTCTGTGTTTCTCTGATGTTCTGCATCAGAAAGGTAGAGAGAGCTCTTCCGGAAATTGCACATTGGGGCTCACATATGCGCATGTGCGCACACACAGACTTTCAAAATGCTGGACCTATTGTCATAATATCACAGGGGCTTCTGGACAGAGATTTCCATATAGGAGGCCAGTTGAGCACCTGTGGGAGGGGGTCCCAACTTCCTGGGGCTGCTGGCCTGTGGGCTGCCAGGTGCTGGGAGCTAAGGACTGTACCAGTCACACCTCCCTTGGCCTTTTCTCTTTGTGATGCACATGTGGATGCCAGTGGAACAAAGGGGTCTTCATGGTGAACATGGGGAACACATGGCTGCTGGTGGGCTCCGGGGACTCATCTGGCTCAAATTTTCATAGTTGGACTCCTGCGCCTGGGGCCTGTGGACATGACAAAGTTGACTGACCACTCAGTACAGGAGGCAGGTCCCCACCTGCCCACCTGCCCACCCACAGCGCAGTAATGCACCAGAAAGAAGAGATGAATCTGTGTGGCAATGGGGCTGGAACCTACAGGGTGTGGAGAAAGACCTGCTGTTAGAGGCAGGGCCTGGGGGGATTCAAGGAATAGGGAAGGAAGAGGCTACCCCGGTCACATAATCACAGACCAGAGAGTCTCTCATCCTCTGTGCCAGCCCCTGCTCCCACAGGAATTTCATCTGTAGCTTCCAAACCACCTCCAATCCTCTGGCCTCCCACCTGAGCACCAACTGCTTCTCCCTGGAATGTCTTAACTGGCATCCCAACTCTAAATGTCCTCTACGATACCTGTGATTCACATCCCTCCAACTTGCCTCTCTACCTGGCCCATGGGGGGAGGGGGCAGTAGGAAGCAGGGTAGCTCTCTTACCGTGGGGAGGTTTCCTGGGTTACTGGCTGCTCTGTACAATGGACAGAGAGAGGAAGTATGAGTGTCCAGTCACCATGTGCTACCCATCCCACCCCATGGTGGAGAATGCAGCCACTCAGAAAGAAGTGCATTGAAGTTTCAATCTGAAGACTGGGTGTTAATGAGGAGAAGTGTGGAGGGAAGAAGAATTGCCATTCTAAGGCTCCAGAAGCACAAAATGCGTGGTCAGTTTGCAGAACTGGCATGAAACCCATGTGAGGAGCCAGGGCAACTTAAGCACATTTGGGTTTGAGACCAGTGCTGGGGACCTGGGGGCTCTGCAAGGCTCTGCACATTCCACCCTGGGCACAGAGCCAATGTCACATCCAGCTCAGTTAAAACAGAGTGGGACAAAGTGCATCTTACCTTCCACCCCTTCACATATGCCTCTAGGGATACCAGTAATGCCATTGACACTGCTTCCTGCCTTGTGCCCACCTATATATTTAAATTTAGCTCCCACCTTACTTCTTGTGTAAAGCTTTCCTTCTCAGCTGCTATCCAGACCCCCACCAGAATGATTCCCATTATCCTCTGGGCACTTTTGCAGTGGCTGGGAACTATGTTGTTAAGTACTGTGGAGTTGGTTCTGACTCATAGTAACCCTACACAGGGTTTCCGAGGCTGCAAATCTTTATGAGAGCAGAATGTCTCATCTTTCTCCCGCGGAACAGCTGGTAGTTTCGAACTGCCGACCTTGAGGTTAGCAGCCTGATTCGTAACCACTACGCTACCAGAGCTCCTTTGCTGGGAACTATACTCACCAAGAAAGAAAGGGAAAAAAAGCCAAACTGATTGCCATCAAGTTGATTCCAACTCAGAGTGACCCTGTGCAGGGTTTGCCAGACAATAAATCTTTACAGGAGCAGACAGCTTCATCTTTCTTCTGAGAAGTGGCTGGGTGGGTGGGTGGGTGGGGGGCTTATTGTAGAATGGGGCCCAGAGCTGGTTCCCACTTGATGCAGGGAGTGGATGTGAGATGATGTTCAGGTGTAATAAACGTTTTGGTTTTACCAAGCCAGATGGTTAGCCAGGTGAGGTGACCTTGCCTGAGAGCTCCGTCCCCACCCTTCCAGCTTGAGACGCACCCACCTGAGTGGTGGCGGGCAGCACGGGCGACCAGGATGCCGACTAGGAGCAGGACCTTGAGGCCTAGCGCGCCAAGCGGCAGGGCGAGCGCCGAGATCCCGCTGGCGCCGCGGAAACGGTACAAGTAGACGCTGGCCTCGGCGCGGCCCAGGCTGTTGGCTGCCGTGCATGTGTAGCGGCCGTCGTGGGCCAGTGCGGGCAGCTCGGCTGTCACCTGGTGGCCATGAGCTGAGCCGGGTACGGCGGTTGAGCTGTTGCCCAGGGTTGGGCCGGACCAGACAAGGGCGGGCGGTGGCTCCCCCTCGGCCGTGCAGATCGCGCGGAAGGCGTGCGTGGGCCCAGGCAACACCGAGATGTTGACGATCCGCGGCGGGGCTGCGAGAGGTAAAAAAGGCGGCGGTGTCAGGGCCAGTTTCCGTTCCCGTTCAGACGCGGGAAAGCTGGAGGAGCCGGGGTAGGGCAGACAGAGGAGGGAAGAGGCGCTCTGGCGCCAGGTTGCCTGGTGGTGTCTGATTGACAGGTGTGGACCCGACCTTTCTGTGCTTCAGAGTCTTCATATGTGAACCGGAGATGATACCAGCACTGACTTTAGGAGTTGCTGAGATTTTGTGAATGAACATGTGTGAGGTGCTTGAGTTAGGGCGTGGCCCGTAGCAATTGTCCAATAAATAGGGGTCCTGGTGTGGTGCTGTAGGATAAGCACTGACAGCTAACTGCAAGGTTAGCGGTTCAAACCCAACAGCTACTCCTAGGAATAGACCTTATACAGGATGGCTATGAGTTGGAACCCACTGGACCCACTTAAACAACAACAATTACACTCCCAGTGCAGAGCTGGGGGCTGGCTGTCTGCTGGTGTGATTTCAAGGATATCTCCCACTCCCAGACAATCTCATCAAATTCTAGTGTTTAGGCTGATCACTGAATAGAGGCTTCCACCCTGGGAGAAACTGAAAAGCACTGTGATAGGCAGACCAAGAATAGAGTCCAACTAGAAGCCAGACCTCCTGGTCCACCATAGCAGAGGCTCCAGAGTTGTAACGTTTCCCCAGGTAATGCTGATGTGCAGTCAGAGGAGGGGAAACTCTGCTTTGGGGACATGGACACATCTCTGTACCTCGTCTGACAAAGTTTGGGGCACTTGGTATCCTCCCTGTGTACCCCTCAGGAGGCTGTGGGTGCTCCTCAGTGCACTAAGCAAATACTTCATTGCAGCCCTTGCTGTGTTTAGGGTTATCATTCACTTGTTTTTCTCTCCCTCTAGTCTGGGAGCAGCCTCCTGGTGTGACGCTGTGCTGGACTGCAAAGTCAGTTTGAACTGTAAGGTTGGTGGTTCAAGCTCACTAGCTGCTCCTCAGAAACCCTATACAAGGGTCGCTATGAGTTGGAGCCAACTCAATGGCACTTAATAAAACAACAGTCTGGGAGCATGGAGTCCTGGTGTGGTGCTGTGGGTTAATGCACTGGACTGTAATGCCAGTTTGAACCACAAAGTCGGTGGTTCAAACTCATCATCTGCTCCTTGGAAACTCTATAAAGGGTCGCTATGGGTTGGAACTAACTTGACAACACTCGACAACAACAAGTCTCCATACAATAAGCACTGGACTGTGAACCACAAGACATGTGCTTTGAGCCCAGTAGCAGCTCCTTGGGAGAAAGATAAGGTGTTGTCCTCCAGAGAAGATTCAAGTCTCAGAAACTGGATACGTTAGAGCTATGAGTCAGTAATGACTCCATGGCACTTAACAACAACAAGAAGAAGAAGTCTGGGAGCAAGGAGCCTTGGGGGCATAGCGTAAGTTCTGGACTGTTAACCCCGAGGACGGCAGTTAAAACCGACCTGCCGCTCTTCGGGATAAAGATGAGACTTTCTGCTTCCATAAAAGTTTGTTGTTAAGTGCCGTCGAGTTAATGCCTACTCATAGCAACCCTTTTTAGGATTTCCGAGGAGCAGCTGGTGAGTTTGAATCGCCAACCTTGCAATTCAAACCGACCTTTCTGTCCAGTGCTTATCCTATAGCAGCATATGGCAGCCTCAGGAAACCTATATAGGGTTGGTATGAGTCGGACTCGACTCCATGGCAGTGAGTGAGTCTGGGAACTGGAGCTCTGGTGGTGCACAGTTAAACATTTGGCTGCTAACAGAAAGGCTGCTAGCTAGAACCCACCATGTGACTAGGTGAGAGAAAGACTTAGAGATGCTCTTGATATAAGTTGAAAATCAATTTGATGGCACCTAACAATAACAACAGTCTGCAAGCTATGGGAACAGTCATTCTCTATCAACTTCATTAAAATGCCTATTCCTGGGCCTAACTCCAAGTCTCTAGGGCCAGATTCTGCACTGCTTATTATTTTAAAAATTTTAAATAAATTGTTGTTGAGCATATACACAGGAAAACAACACTTCCTACGTGTACAATTCAACAACACTGACAACACTCTTTAAGTCGTGTAACCCTTCTTACCCTCCTTTTCTTACTCCTTTCCCACTAAAGTTCCTATCTATTCTTTAAAGTACATCAAATGGTTGTCCATTCGATCCCACAGATAATTCTTAAAAAGCATAATGCTCAAGACTAACTTTTTTTTACTAATTAAATGAAACAATTTTTTGATTTTAAGAAAACTTCAGGGGATGTTTATGGATTAAGGTTTAGAAATGATCCCTGGGTATGACTTCTGAAATTCTGGAGTTCCTAAGAATTGATGTGCATTTTTGGTAAATTCTCAAGTGGCTGTAACCATCTCCAGATTTGAGACTCATGCTCTAGAGGAAAGAGGGTCATGTATGGCCCTACCCAGTCTGGCACGGGGACCACGGGACAGGGCCCAGAAGGAAGGACAAAAGGAACTGAGCCGCTACTCCCCAATCGCCAGAGGGCGCCCTGGGTCCCCTCTTTGCTCACCGCTCAGACTAAGGCGGACGCCCTGGCGGCTCTCGTAGCGATCTTGAACGTCGCCGGCGAACTCCACGCGGCAGAAGTAGCGGCCGGCGTCGGCGGGCACCAGGCGTTCGACGCGCAGTGACAGGTCGTTGCGGCGCGGGTTGCCCAGCAGGCGGAAGCGGCCGTGGCGGCTCAGGGCCATCTGGCAGAACTCACTGTCCCGTGCCGCAGTGCAGCGGAACACCTGCGGCCCCGCGTAGGGCTCGCCCGCTCGCCAGATGGCCGTCAGGGGCCCGGCGTAGTGGCCGTGCGGGTGGGTGAAGGTGCACGGCAGCACGGCCGCGTCGCCCACTGTCGCGCTCACCTCGGCGGGCACCTGCATGGACCAGCGCTGGGATGGCGCGCCTGAGGGAGGGGATGGGTGGAGGTGGGTACGGGAGTGGTGGGGGTGGAAAGGTGAATGAGTAGGGGATACATCAGCCCGGCCAGGCCCTCGGCGGGCACCCCCATCACCGACACCCCGAGGCACCCCATGGCCCCGGAAGTCTGGAAACTCACCCCAGGACTCTGGTGACAACTTGTCTGACCTGGACCCCAATGACTTAGGAGGTGCTTGCTCTCAGCCCACTGCTCTGTGGTGACTGGCTGATTGAGGGCGGTCCTACCCCATCTCCAGGCCCTATACTCTTCCCCTTAGTTTTTTCCCAACAAAACCTGCCTTGCTGCGTAAAAACCCTGGTATCCAGTGAGTCCAGGAACCCAAAGATAGATGGTAATAATTATAAAAAACACGTACTGTGCACCTCAGTGTTGAGCGAGTTCCCTGTAGTATCTCTTTTAGTCTTCACAAATGAGCCTAGAGGTAAGCATATTACCCCATATTACTTGGTAGTAAAGTGAGATTCAGAGAGGTTGAGTAATTGCCTGAGGCCACACACAGCTAGGCAGAAGCAAAGTCAGCATTCAAACTCAGGACTGCTTGACTCCACAGTCTGTATACCAGGGCACTAGAACCTGTAAACTTGGAACATCCGCGCTCATCCAAGGAGATCAACACTAGCATTTACAGAGGGGGAAACTGAGGCCACAGGTGTTGTTAAGTGCCGTTGACTTGGTTCCAACTCATAGTGACCCCATATAGGGTCTCCAAGGAATGGCTGGTGGGTTTGAATTGCTGACCTTTGGTTAGTAGTCCAGTGATTATCCTACAGCACCACACCAAGAGTGGCACTGTGGAATATGCACTGGAGGGAATGATACCACAGTCCACGGTTTATAGAGTTCTCGCTCATATACTGTGTCACGGGACCTCAGAACACCTAAGGGGAGAAAGGCAGAGAAGGTATTGAGAAAATGAAGGGTCAGAGTCATATAGAAGGTGATAGAAACCCAGCTTTCTGCCTCCAAGCTCTCTGAGATACCTCAGTTCAACTCACGCCTTGAGGTAGGAATCTCCCAGTCCACTGCTGGTAGGTAGGCCACGCCCAGGCCGCTTATCCTGTTTACGCACAATCTATATAGATAAGGACATTCTACTGGACTCCTGATGTGCCAGTGTAGTAGCAGCACTGGATTTCAAATCACAGGCGGGCAGTTCAAACCCTGTACAGGGTCACTGTGAGTCAGAAATGACTCGACGGCACTTAACAATAACAACTGCCGCTTGACCTCTATTGCTGTTTGCAGGGGTTATGCTTCTGATGATCCCTCAGTCTCCCATTGTGGTTATCCTGGACTCATTCAGCTTTCTCTCCTCTGGTTAAAAAGTTTCAGTCCTTCACCTGAGTCTCCTCATCCTCACCACCCTTCTATACTGTCTGCGGCGTCCAGCGTAAGTGGTCTTGGGTGGCTCCTGGTGTGGCCCCAGGTATGCGGGACCAGCTCAGTGTGATGTGAGTCCAACCTGCTGCCTCAGGTTGTATGAACTGTGTCCTGATGTCAAATCACACTTGGGGCCAATGCTGAGCTTACAATCAAGCAAAATGACAAGTTTGTTGTTGTTTTAACCCAATCTGCCTTAAAGTTGAAATCTCTCTTAATGTGGATAAGTAGAATTACATTTTGAGCTCCACTGGCGGTCTTGACATTTATTACTGTTAAGAGTTTGTTTGCTCAGTTGTTCATCATCTAGGGTCCTAGTTCCAAATTTGAGAAACCCTGTCTGGGGTTTGCTGACTCCCCATCTTGAGGCCCAGCATCGCCTCAGTTTCCCAGCCACTTCTGCCCTCTCTGCCCTCAGCCTCCATTGACCGCCTGAGACTTCTGGCATCAGGAGGCCAGGTACCTTTTGTTTGTTAATGTGCATCCATCAGACACTTGCTTCACCTGTGTCCACTCTGAGAGTGGACCTGGAGTTACAAACAAGACCCCTTATCAGTCTGTAGGGGCTCAAGCTCAGGGCAAGTGACAGGTGCACCCATAATTCACACAGCCAGCCAGGTGTGCTCCCACAGGGCATGAACAATGTTTCCTCTGTGTGGGCATGGATGCTACCCATTTTCACTCACCAGCTCCCTCCAGTTTCCTCTGCAGGAGGGCTGAGCCAGTGGCCTTGGTTCAGGGCACGCATTGTCTGTTTCTCTGCATCTCATCCACATGCCCAGAAGCTCTGAGGAGGCAGGTACCATACTTACGCAATCATTTCAGCCGCTCCTCGGAAACCCTATACAGGGTCACTATGGGTCAGCACTGACTCAGTGGCACTTAACAACAACAACAACAAAACCATCTAGAACTATGGCATAAGAAATGGACTGGCACACATGAGTTGGAACTGACTCTAAGGTAACTAACAAACATTGCCCAGCACAATGCTTATTTATACACAGTGTTGTTGTTGTTGTTGCTAAGTGCCATCGAGTCAGTTCCAACTCATAGTGACCCCATCTATGAGCAGTTGGTGAGTTTGAACCACCGACCTGCGGTTCAAACTGACCTTGTGGTCCAGTGCTTATCCTGTAGCGCCACATGTTAAATTGAACAGAGAACTGAACAGAAAGGAAGGTGATCATGGACTCACAGGAGAGGGAGGTGAAGAGTGGGGCGGTGTGATATGTAGATAAAAAGGAGTTGGAGAACCTATGAGAGTGGAGATGACATCTCAGCAGACTTTTACAGGAAGAGTGGGAGTGCACTAGACCTTGAGGTAGATTTCAGACATTCCATGTAAAGGGATGTCCTCTCTCATCATGATTGTTCAAAGCAGGCAAACGGGTCAGTATTCTAGTGTGATCTCAGAAGTAGATCATCCGACTTTTCTTCCTACTCGTAGGTCTGGAAGCTCTATTGAAACCTGCCCACCCTGGGTGATTTTGCAGGCTTTTGAAATCCCAGTGGCATAGCTTCCAGCATCGTAGCCACCTGCAAGCTACCACGATTCAGTAAAATGAGATGGGTTGGATGGATTTGAACATGCTGGGGATTGTAAGGGTGATGTAAGATTGGGCAGTATTTCGTTCTGTTGTATATATGGTTTCTGTGAGTTGGAGCTGACTTGGTGGTAGCTAAGAACAACAGGGAAAGGAACAGCATGGGTAAAACCATGAAGGTATGGCTGCCACCAGAGAGGAAGCAGGGCATGATGGGATAAGGAGGTCGGAGAATACAGTTCTCTCAGGGACTGCTGAGAGATGTTCCTCATGTCATTTAATACACACAGCAGTGCAGTTCCCTGAGGTACCATCATCAGCTCTCAAGGAGAAGCCAGGACTGAAGCTTAGAGAGCCCAAGTCCTTGACAAGGTCATTTGCCAAACTCAGTGCAGGTAAGCAAATAAGTCTAGGCTTACCTCCAGTAGCTGTTTCCTTTGTGCATGTTGTATTGTAAACCTTTCTACTAAATTCATCAAAGGTGACAGCTGAGTTTGGAAACATCCTGAAGTGTGACAGAACAGCAGGCCTGAGTGGGTGGGTGGTGTTTTGGGAACAGAATGGGAACACAGAGACTCTTTCACTGCAGAGATTTGTGCTTCCTGCTCACCCGATGAACAGTATTCAGAGACAGGCACTGGGGCGTCCTCTCAAACAGGGGCCTTTTGATGAGGACTGTCAGGTGACTGGGAGTCCTGGACAGGAATTACTTGTGGAACGCGTGCATTTGTTTTGGTGGGAATCCAAGCTCTCAGTGTTCTATGAGAATTTCATTGGGAAACCTTATTCCATCCACCCTATAGCCCTGATCTTGCTGCTCAGACTCTTTGTTGCCCAAATTCAAAGAACAATGAAAAGGAACACAATTTGAATCCCTTGAGGATGTCAAAACTGCTGTTTTGGTATGTTGTAAGTTGAAGAACGCAGAATTCTTTAGGGAAGATTAACCCCAAACCAAATGCAACCAAGTGCCATGGAGTCAATTCCAACTCATAGCAACACTATAGGACAGAATAGCGCTGTCCAGAGGGTATCTGAGGCGCTACTTATTTGTGGAAGCAGACTGCCTCATCTTTCTTCTGTGGAGCAGCTAGTGGGTTTGAACCATTGACCTTTTGGTTAACAGTCCAGTGTGTAACCTACTGCCTCACTAGGGCCCCTTCAGGTAAGGGTGGTTGTTGTTGTTAAGTGCTGTCGAATCAGTTCCGACTCATAGCAACCCTGTACGGGTTTTCGAGGAGAGGCTGGTAAGTTTGAACCACCGATATTGTAGTTCAAACTGGTCTTGTGGTCCAGTGCTTTACCCCACAGTCCCACACCAGAACTTACAGAGATGGAAACACCACCTTCAGAAGTGGGTAGACGTAGATAGATGTGTCCAGAAACAATAGCTTCACGTTTTGATAGTTTTGTTTAATAACGCTTTCTATGATTTTGCAGCAATACTTTTTTAACTTACCCTCCTAGCCCACCTTAGCCTAGAAGCTCTGGAGAAACCTGTTCAGCATCAAAGCAACATGCAAAGCCTCCACTGACAGACAGGTGGTAGCACTGTATGAGGTGCCTTGGCCAGGAATTGAACTTGGGTCTCTGTATGGAAGGTGAGAATTGTACTGTTGAATACTTATCCCTTAATGGCTTTCAGGTGCTTACAAATGCACCATTGTTGTTGTTAAGTGCCCTCGAGTCAATTCCGACTCATCGTGACCTTGTACAGGGTTTCCGAGGAGTAGCTGGTGGGTTTGAACTGCTGACGTTGTGGTTCATAGTCCAACGCTGACCCTACAGCATCACACCAGAAGTCTCATTGGTGGTGGTGGTTGTGTGACGTGGAGTTGGTTCCCACTCATAGGGTTTCTGAGGCTATAAATCTTTACTGGAGCAGAAACCTCATCGATTCAGAAAACTCGCTACCTAGTGAGTCCCATTCATGCCTTGATGGTCCTGCACAGCCCCTGGCGAGACCCTTCACCACCAGCCCCTTTATGCCTCATTGTGACAACTGATGCTAAACAGGGAAGTGGGCGTGGTGGGGGTGGGTGGGGTAGCCTCGGGTATCAGCTTCCACATAATCATAATCATGAATCAACAAAGGACTAGTTGACTGACCCTGGACCTAATGTCCTAAAGTACCATATCAGTAGGGCCAGGTGGGAAGAGAATGAGTAGGAGACAGAAACATATCCACAGATTGTGGATGCGTAGAAGCAGAAGCTGAATGGGGTCAGAAATAGAAGGCATAGATTGGCCTTAGCTGACGGAATATTTCTGTCAGCTCTTTGGTGAGGAAGGAGGCAGGAGCTTGCCTGGGGAGCTCTCTGTAGATTGTCTGCAGTGCATTTTGTATAATCACATTGATATTAGCCACTGAGAATACTGCTCATCCGTTTCCTTTGCTGTTGATGGATCTTCTAATGGTCTCATATGCCTGGGGTTGAAGAACCTCTCCAGAGTGTCACAGACCCCAAAGCCGGGCAGTGGTTTCCATGGGGGCAGTGTCCAGAGGGAGTGCCATGGGTTTCTTTACCCTTCAAATGAAGCTTCAACAAGAACTAGGTCTGTTGAGGTCAGCACCCGGGAGGGAAAAGGGTGTTGAGAGTGCCAGGCAGAACATGTTGGTTAGGACAGATTCCTCCTACTTTTCTTTTGTCAAGGGTGTGCCTCAAGACCCCACACAGAGCTATGCACAGGGCATAGACTGTGCCCAGTAGATTCCCTTGCACCACACCTCCACCTCTCCACTAACTCACAAAGCTTCCTGGGGTTCTCATACTGCAGTCCAGCTAAGCCTAGTGGGGTGTATGTGTGTGGATAATCTATTTAATGGAATGCAGTTCTACGCTGACATGCATGTGGTCATCCTGAGTCAGATTGATTCAAATGCAACTGCTTGGGCTAGACCCCATTCTCTACCACCTTGCATATTACCCTATGCCAGAGCCCTGCAGCGGGTGCTGGTGGGAAGGCCTGTCTTTTCCATGTGGCGGGGTTCACAGATGAAGAACAATCAGGCCTGTGGCTGGCCCATGGAACAGTGCTAGTGTTGATGTGTTACGCTCATATTATGAGCTGGCCAGCCCAGGTGGCTTACAGGAGCCCCACTCCCCCTGGTAATCTGGACACATACAGCTGGAGCATAAGTGTGGTTTGCTGTTTGCTCCTCATTGTTCTTCTGAGTATCTTTTGACTTTGATTCATAGCAGCTGACCTTTAGCAGGAGCAAAAAGCAAAGCAAACCAAACCCCCCCAAACCTTGCTTTTTAAAAAATTATGGGATGTTGGCAATGCCCACTTTCCTTTATTGCACAACTACTGGGCACCAGAAATAGTGCTTGTCTGTCTACATACTTTTGTTGTTGTTAAGTGCTGTCGAATTTGTTCTGACTCATAGTGACCCTGTATAAAGTTTCCGAAGAGCGACTGGTGAGTTTGAACCACCCACCTTGCTGTTCAAACCAATCTTGTGGTCCATTGCATTATTCTACAGTGCCACATCAGGACTCCTGTCTGTCTCCTAGGAGAACCTAATTATGCCCTCAGCATCACCACTCCATGGTACAGGGCTCAGAGAAGTTAGGCAACCTGTCCAGGGCCACACAGTAAGTAAATGGCAGAGCCAAATTCAAAGCTGTGTCTGACACCAATACCAGTGTCCTTAACCACCCTTCTATTTGCCATTTCTGTTTGGAGTCCTGGTGTGGTGCTGCAGGATGATAGAGGGGACTGCAAAGTTGGTGTGAATTGCAAGGTCAGCAGTTCAAATCCACCACCAGCTGTTCCTTGGAAACCCTATATGTACAGTGCCGCTATGAGTCAGAACTGACTCGACAACACTTAATAACACCACCACCACCACCACGGTGCTGGGCGAGGCCACCTCCTCCAGCTCCGAGGGTCTAAGTGGGACCCCCTCTGAGTCATCTTAGAAAGACACCTGAGTTAGGAAGAGACAGACCTTCCCATCAGCACCCATTGCAGGACTCTGGTGTGGGACAGTGGACAAGGTAATGTGTGGGGGAGGGGTCTAACCCAACCAGTTGCTTTTGAATCAGTCAGTCTGACTCATGGTGACCACATGTGTGTCACAGTAGAACTGGCTCTAGAGGGTTTTTAATGACGGATTATTTTTTCAGATACGTAGCTCACCAGGCCTTTCTTCTGTGGTACCTCTGGGTGTACTCAAACCACTAACCTTTTGTTTAGTAGCCAAGTGTGTTAACCTAACATCCAAGGACTCCAGAATCACACTTGTCCAGGTTCAAATCTCAGGTCCACCCTAGACCATTCACTTAACTTCTCTGTGCCTCAGTTTCCTCATCTGTGAAAAGGGAATAGAATAGTTCCTTTTTCATCAGACTTAAGTTAACATATTCAAATGCTCAGCGTTCATAAGCGCTCTGTGTTGTTGTTAAGTGCTGTCGAGTCAGTTCTGACCCATAGTAGCCCTGTATAGGGTTTCTGAAGAGCAGCTGGTGGGTTTGAACTGTTGACCTTATGGTTAGCAGTCCAATGCTTATCCTAGAATGCCACATCAGGAGTCTTATAGATGTTTACTTTTCAAACCAATCCCACACTGAACTTCCCTGTGCTAAATGCTAGACGGAAAGGAAGAGGGCTCTGAGCGTGGGTGTTTACCATCCCTTTGTGGAGACTGGACCCAATACAAGAACTCTGGACTCTCAGCTCAGAACGCAGTGATGCCAGCGATATCCCAGTGTGGCATAGGATGGCCAGCAACCATGCATGTGGTATCCCAATTGCTAAGCACAGTCATGAGAGGGGCTGCAGATGAGGGAAGACCTGGGGCCTGAAATCCATCCCAGTCACCCTCACTGCACATCAGAATCACCTGAGGATGGTTAGAAATGCAGATTCCTTGGTCCTGCTGTCTGGTATAGACTGATTCTGCAGGTCTGGGGTGCAGTTAAAGAAGAGGTCTTTTCAGGAGTGCCCCCTCCACTGGGGCATTTGATGGACTTCTGATGCAAATGGTCCATGACCACCCTTTGAGAGGCAGGGTTCTGAGGGATACTTTATTCATGGAGCCAAGTAATGGATGGCATTGTGACCTAAGCCTGTCACAGAGCCCCCACTCTCCAAACGTCCGTGTGTGGCTCCTTCCCTTGTCCTCAGGACCGTACCCATCAAGACACAAAGCCCTTCAACGGTAGCAATACCTGACCTTTGGAGTTTGTACCATTCAAGACTCCTTCCCGTGCTTTATTCCCCTGAATTCTCACAGCGAGAAGTGAGGCAAACAGATGGGAAGCTGAGAGAAGTCAGGGGAGCTGCCTCAAGTTCCCTGAAAACCCAAGGCAAAGCCTGGACTTGGTAGTGTCTGCTGTGGCTTCAACCTCTCATAACCCAGCTCTTCCAGCTCCACAACCTAGAGGCTTTGGGCAAACTCAGCTGCCTGAGTTCTAGGGGAGAAGACCGTGGCCAAGACTTGCTACATTTCTACTCAGTTCCAGAATGGGCCAGAGAACTCAGTGGGAAACTTACCCAGTGGGATGATGCAGGTCAGGCAGACCAGGAGTGGGATGGGCACTTCCATGCTGCCTGAGCTTCCGGGGATCCCGAGGTACCCCACACTTGGCCAGGACGCCAGTGACACTCTCCTTGGCGTGGGTGTGGGGGAAGAAAAGTGGGAGGGGGTGGGCAGTGTGCCCCGATCTTCAGGCCCCACTGGCTTTGTGGGAGCTGGAGACACTGGGGAGAGGCAGCTGGGTGCCGGAGGTCTAATGAGATGAGACCCGTGGGGCTTAGTCACTGTGGAAAACCAAGAGGGGAATTGCTCAGATGATTTTCCAGCCTAAGAAACAGGGAAGTAGACAGGGAGGATGCAGAATCCTTTGCTGTGGTCACTGGCTGCTTTGAGAAAATTGTCATTCATTTGCTGACCTACCTACCTACCTACCTGCCTCCCTCCCTTCTTTCAGTGTTTTTAGAGTGCCAGGATAGGTTTCTTGTTGCATTACTTCTTTCTCTTCTCTCCTTCTTATTCCCCTTCTGGAGAGGAGTTTTAGCAAGATGGAGAATGAGACTCAGAACAAGAGACTACCAACATAACTCATTGAAGTAAGGCTATGGAAAGTTTTCAACTCTCGCTTCTGGAAGCTTATCCCAAATAAACTACCCCTTCTAATCAACTGCACAAAGATACTCTGTCCAACTCTGCTTCCAGGGAACCCAATCTAAAAGTACACAGTCAGCTGCTATCTCGTTGGTTCTGATTCATGGCAACCCCATGTGGTTGGCCCAGCCAAGCTGACACACAACCTTAACCACAACAATGGGATTTTCTACTTTTAAGAAACCGACAAACTATTTGCCAAAGACTGGCTACCATTTTCCATTCCTACCAACTATATTTGTGTTTTCAATTGAGTGTGACCTTTCAGAAGCAGATGGCCATGACTTTCTTCCAAGGCAGCCCTTTGAACAAACAACTTTTGCTTATAGTCAAATGTTTAACCATTTGCACCATCCAGGGACTACAACACACATAAGGGGCATGAATTTTGATGCAGCTCTTTTCCCATTATGTTTGGTAGAGGGTCAGTGAAAAGGAGGAAGACCCTCAATGAGATGGATTGACACAGTGGCTCAACCACAATTGTGAGGCTGGTGTCGGTCTGAGGAGTGTTTCATTCTGTTTTATCTAGGGTCTCTATGCTTGGATCCAAGTCAATGACAATGACCAACAACAACAAATTTGATGTTGGCCATATAGAATCGGAAGTGGTGATTACTGGTGGGAGAATAATTGTCTCCAACTGTAGTCATCATTGCCAATGGTTATACTACTTCGTATCATGAACTGTTGTCAAGTGCCGTCGAGTTGATCCCAACCCATAGC